AAACTTGACTGTAATAATTAAAGGTTATCAGCTGTAGTTTTAGTGTGCTCATAGGAAACGTGACAAAAGAAAACAAAACACATTTCTCTTTATGGCCTATATAGTTGTCATCATCAACATAACATGATTTACAGAATACATGTGACCAACTAACATTTCATGTTCTACCACCGGATGTTTGGATCAAAATGTGAACCAATCAGATCTTCGATCAGGTGAGAGCCAGGCATTTCCCGTCATCTAGGTTTTGCAGCCGAGGGAGAGCAACTGCAGCGCCTTGCTCCAAAATCTGCGGCCGCCTTGATCTCACGAGGTTATCGTTGCCTACGTACAGTATGCATGACGTCAGAGCAAGTCGGCGTCAAGTCGGACACAAATCTAACTGGCATGCACTGCTCTCCGATCACCGCTGGTCTAATCTGCGCAGAACTGGCTCATCTCGAACACAGCCAATGGCTCGAGTACAGCAAAGCGGAGTTGGTGATGTACTGCGTTGTATGCAATGACAAAATTGAGTTTTGTTGAGGGAATAAAAAAATTTCAAACTTGAATACGTTATTATGTTTGTGAATGTGTACAAAATAAAGGTTTATTACATTTTAAACGGTTCAGTTGTAATTTTGACTCGTTTTGGCAGCTGACCAGCGGGGCCGGTAAATATTCAGAGTTACCGGCCCGGATGGCCGGTTGGTTTTGAAGTTAATGTCCACCCCTGACACATAAAAAGCACTTTGGATTGCTATATCTGTCTCACCGAGACAGATCTCAGACAGATCCTGAGACGCTCCTGCCTGACATATATTTTTTTTATTCACTGAAAAAAATCTGACTAGTGATTTCTCTTGGCGTTCAATTTATACATTCAAACAGCACAACACTCTATTTAAACTACTTACAAGTAAATCTGTTATTTGTCCATCCATCCATCTATCCATTTTGATCCGCTTATCCGGAGTCGGGTTACGGGGGCAGTAGCGTCGAAAGGCCCAGACTTCTCTCTCCCCAGCCACTTGGGCCTAGCCTAGCAAGCCAGACTAAATAAATGTATTATTCTTTGCAAAGCAAGAATTTGGTCTAGTTCACTAGGCTAACTTGGGCCAGCTCCTCCGGGGGAATCCCAAGGGGTTCCCTGGCCAGGTCCGGTAAGAGGTCCGCTCCGACAGCTTTTGGCATTTTTGAAAAGTATCCCAGGGGCACGGTAAGGGTTGGAGATGTTTAGTCTATTTAATTTCTGACTATATAAAACGATTTCTTCGGTTTTAAAGTGTGAAGTAAACTCCGAAGTAAAATCCAAGCCAATCCCGTTCATTTTGTTTACATTTGGTGCCTGCCAACATGACGTCTACTCTGAGAGTCACGTGAGGTCCGGAGCTCTATAATCCAAACTCTTATGTTTATCTTTGGTAAGAAGCCGTGCACGTTCAGTTGAATTACTTTGAGACAAAACAATTGTTGGAAATCAGCAGGAGTCTGTGTGCATTACAGCTCCAGTCCAGGGTTTGGTTGCACATTTCAGATAATAGTAAGCATGAGACAGTCATCAGTGTTTCACTTTTTATTTTGAGGTAGTCATAACGTATGTTGGATCCTTGTGGTACGTTTTGCTTAGTGAGAGACTAAGATTGTATAAAGCAAGAAAAGGTTAGAGGTTAGATACATCTCCAAGTAGGATTGACCACAAGTTAAAGATCTGAGTAAAGTGAGTTGGTGTAGTTTCAGTATCCCTAGGTGAGTTAACTGAGCATATTATTCACCATGGGGACACAACATGGTCCCAAGTCCAAAACAGCCAGAAAAAACAAGGAAGCAATGAAAAACATTATAATCTTCATCTTGCAAAGCACAAGGTCAGCAGAATAATGTTTTTGAGCAGTAAATGCACATGAATCAGGTTCCAGGAAGGTGCTGAAGGCTCTGTCAGATTCTGGGGGTAGCAGCAGGGCCAATCTGGGTTTAAGAGTATGATCCAGTGAAAGTCCTTTGTGTGATGAAATCTGCTTCAGGTTTTATGTCCTCTCGATCCAAGCAATCTTCAGTCTCCTATCTTACAAAAAATCTACTCCGTAGATTAATGCTTGTGAGCGGTTCAGCTATTAATCCAGGTCACAGGAAGGTGTGAAGGCTTGGTCCCAAGGATGTGTTGCATTTAGCACCTACTTAACTAAAGATAAGCCTCACAGCCCAAGCACCAGGTACTTAAAACAGGCCTGGCTAGGGCTGGGCGATATGGCAAAAATAGAATATCACGATTTTTCCAATATTTTATCACGATTTCGATTTTATCACGATTTTTTATCCATGAATAGTATAACTTCAATTGCGTATTAAAGAAGAGAAACATTGAATAAATAAACATTTATTCATATTAGGGATAGTCAACACAGTGCTAACACACTTGTATTTTAAACTCACACCAGAGATGAGAGAAACAATTACAAAAATCAGTTTTTCTCGTTTTTCATGTAACTTAACATAAATTAAAATCGTAAACATATTTAAAGTGCAAACATGTCAATTGCAAACGTATTGTGCAAACATTAACTTGTTCAAAATACTCTGCTCTGATGTGCGGCTGGACCAGAGATCGCTTATGGTAGCAAAAAACTGCGCATTCTGAATATTTTCTGCAACTCTCACTTTGCATTCAGCGTACATGCGTGGAATGGCTCTCCATATATTTAGCTTTTATACAGACGACACTTTATTCACTGACTCAGTGTTTTTTTTTTTGCATATTTTTCGGTTTAATCCATCTTCTTGCTGCTTTATATCTTATTGCCTATTTATTCAATGTTCGTATGTCCAACATCATGCTGCTCTGCTGTTATTTTTTTTAATGCCCCTCAGGGAAAAAGTTTTTCTGATTCCGATTCTGATCGTGACTTGCCTTACCCGTTTTATCTTCATTTGAAGTTAAAGACCGCGAGCTTGTTTGAGAAAAAAAGGTGCTCATTTTTGCACATTTAGCTGCATCTGTTTCCAGCGCTTTCCTCTTTTTAATTCTTGCCTTCTCCGCGCCACCCTTGCTCTTTCTACTTTCCATCTTTCCATCAACTGCGTGTCACGTGGTGCGCACAGGCGCATACAGGGGAAAAAAATAACGATCTGCAGCCTGCAGGCAGAGCCAGCCAGAGACAACTGGGAGGAGCGTACGAGATCAGCCCGGCGGCCTCAGTGCCATGACTGAACACCGGCACCTAAAAATAAAATGATATAAAACAAAAACGAGAGCACCGGCCCATGCGGCCCAAACATCGCGCGGCCCACCGGGATTTCTCCTGACCCTCCCGATTAGCCACTCCGGGCCTGCGTTCCTCTTCGGAACGAAAACCTCGTTGTCGCTCGCAGCCGAGGCCGAAGCCATGTTTGTTGTTCACACACAGGTGAAAACAAGCGGGGCACTAATATATTACTATGACTCACTCTGATTGGTTAAGGGTCAAACAAAGGCGTGTCATTCGCCGGAGGTAAGTTCCCTTTTCATTCAGAGGCAGAAATTCAACAGCAGAGCTGTGAATCGTGATAAAAAGGTCTCTCAAAAATGACAGACCGTCAGATGTGTAGATCGTAAAACGGTCTAAAATCGTCATATCGCCCAGCCCTAGGCCTGGCCCAGAAAGTCAAAGCAGAGCCAGGCTTTTTTGTGACTGCAGCAGGGCTGAGTTATGGAGGCCACTGGAGAGCCAGGATCCAAGCGGCAACTTGCCTGGACTATCCAGTACGAAGATGAAGGAAAGCCCAGTTCAGGCTGTCAGAAACAAGTCAGGCAGAGACCAGCAGAATTCCAGGACAGGGCCAGACAGGAATCAGCAGGACCACAGCCGAAAATGTTGAAAGTTCTTACCAGGGCCAGTCAAGGTCCGAGCCACAGACAAAGGAAGGTCAGGTCAAGGTGAGAAGGATCCAGGGTGAATATGGTCGAAGTTGGTGGGTTGCTGTAGTTTGTGAGAGGTTTGGGATCGGCCACTCCACACAGCAGGCCTTTGTTCTGTAGGAATGTGGTCAAACAGGGCCTACCCCAGGCCAGTGTCTTTCCAGCAAAGGTTGGGATTGAGAAATAATCCAGGACCATCCGCCAAATTCTATCAGTCAAAAACTTCCCAAAAATAATGAGTGTTACTTCTATCATCTGCTTCAAAGTTTTCACAAAATGGAAAGAAAATATTAACTATAAGATCAGACAAAAACGTAAAACAGTCAGGGACAACCAACAATGGACTAGTAGGGCTGCCATCTTGCATTCCAAAATTCTGTCCTTCTGTCCCGTTTAGCAAAATATTGATGTTTCTTTTATTTAAAAAATGTAAAATGTGAACTTATAATAGTTCCTTGTTACATCTATCACACGGTTGGACTTGTATCTCTTGGTTCTCAATCACCGAGGTTATCGCAGTGTAAATAGTGTAACGTACCAGTGGTCAAATCTACACCAGATCAGTATGTGTTGATTTAGCAAGTTAATCTGTCAGTACTCATGCACATTATAATAAGATAGTTATTAATGTTTAACATCCACATCACATAAGTGTTCAAAACATTCTCATTCGCACTAAGAGTACCATCTTTGTATCTGAAGGAAGGACTTCTGAGGTATTGTTGGTAAATCCCTCAAACGTGTCAAATTCTGATTTGTCAAAATTGTAAACAGTGGCTGTGTCTACATTTCACCAGTGTGTGACAACTACAAGGACTTTGTTCTTGCTCGTCTCCAGAGTAATACTCCGCTAACCAGAAAGGACACCCCAGCAGCACCTGCCAGTCCGGATGACTCTCTGGTCACCAGCAGCCAATCAGAGCACAGATCAGCCAGCAGATCCTCTGAAGACTTTATGGATGTGCTCAACATCAGTGCCAAAGCAGCTTTAGAAGACCCGGCAGATGATTTTGTTGACATACTGAGAGGTGGTGCTTCAGCACAGAGAGGGGAAGATGATGCTCCAGCTGAAGGTGGTGCAGCAGACCCACCAGCAGCTTTCACTGCTCCAGTCATGGAGCTCAGGGATGGTTGGTCAGCTAGCAGCACCCAGAAGCCACTTGTCAGTGAGAAGATCCCCGACCCTCTGGTTGAGCTCCTCGGTGAGGCCTCGACTGTGACCGATGAAGCCACAAAGCCCAGTGGGGAAGTTGTGGACTTGTTTGATGATGAGGGGAGCAACATCTTCACAGGGGCTGTGCCAGCCGAACCTGCAGACATCTTCACCGAGGAAGACGACACGATGTCAGACACCAGGAAACACAGCGTCAAGAACAATGGAGTCCACTCTGCAGAGAACACAGATATAATTGCTGGTGAAGTTTATCCTACAGTTTCATTAATGCACCAGTATAAACAGCATTGATGCCCTTTTCCATCCAACACGTTTGTCTCCAACAGAAGCCACGGTGGAGCTCTCCCTAGACAGTCCGCGGAACGAGAGGAAGAAGAAACCGACCCCCACGCCCTCCCTCCCAGCTGCTGCCAGCCTGACCAAACCTGAGTGCTCAGCTCTGGAAGAGGTGTGCACGTTTTCACAAAAGCCCTCCTCAGGAGGCTGGCTGAGCTGGTGTTTAGGTCATCTTCTCTGTTTTAGGTGGAAGAAGAAGAGGAGGACCGATGTGACATTTCTGTTTCTGTCACAGACCCTGAGAAGATCGGTAGGGTTGTTTATTTTGGCTCTAGGCAGATGCATGATGGTCCACTGACTGATGGAGCTGCTCTTCTGTTGTCCAGGTGATGGGATGACTGCCTACATGGCCTACAAGGTGTCCACAGAGGTAAAGCCAGGCCCATCTCAGTTTCTGAGGTTCTGTTTAAGCTTAAATCTAGGTTTTTATCCCTCTCAGACATTGCTGCCCATGTTCCGCAACAAAACGTTTACGGTCAGGCGACGCTTCAGCGACTTCCTCGGCCTCTACGAGAAGCTTTCTGACAAACATGGACCCAGCGGACTGATTGTGCCACCTCCTCCTGAGAAGAGCATCCTAGGTGAGACTCAGCAAAGCTTCTCCGCTCTGGGCCATGGCTCCATCAGAACCTCTCTTTGTCTCCTACAGGGATGACCAAGGTGAAGGTGGGGAAGGAGGACTCCTCCTCTGCAGACTTTCAGGAGAGAAGAAGAGGTGCTTTGGAGCGGTGCGTTGGCGAGAATGCTCAAATGTCTCCGTAATGCTTTTTGACCTGTTCGCAGCTGGACCATGAGCTTGTCTTCATGTTCCACAGGTATCTCCAGAGGGTGGTGAACCACCCGCTGCTCCTCCAGGACCCTGATGTCAGAGAGTTCCTGGAGAAAGACGAGGTGAGTGCACCTGTTTGGAGGCAACTGAAGATCATTTTAATCTGAAGAAGAAAATATCATTTCTATTGCGCCTCTCAAGATAAAAATCACGCGTCGTTTCACAAAAACAGAAAATGTAAAAATGTAAAAAAGCATTTAGAAAATGGTTAAAAATATATTTAAAATGAGCAAAAAATAGACAATTGTGATTAAAAAAATGTTAAGAAAGAGAGAGAGTGAATAGGAAAGAGGGAAATCAGTGAATCCTGAGGAAGGTGGAATAGGTGGGGAGAGCAGAATAAAGAGAGTGGTGAAGAAGGTCATACAAAAACCAGCTTGAACAAGTGAGTCTTCAGCTGCTTTTTAAAGGAGACCACTGAGTCCACTGATCTCAGGCTCAGGGGGAGAGAGTTCCAGAGTCTGGGGGCCACAGCAGCAGATGATCTGTCACCTTTGGTCTTTAGCCTGGTGCTGCACAACCAGTAGGCTTTGATCACTGGACCTCAGGGACCTGCTGGGGTGTAGGGACTAAGAAGATCACCAATGTAAGATGGTGCTTGTCCATGTAAGGCCCTATAGACCAGAACCAGGATCTTGAAATGAACCCTGAAGTTGACTGGCAGCCAGTGAAGCTGGAGGAGAAGCGGGGTGATGTGGGTGTGTTTGGAGGACTTGGTCAGAAGTCGAGCACAGGCATTCTGAACCACCTGTAGACGGTTCAGGGAGGTTCTGCTCAGACACGTGAAAAGAGAGTTGCAGTAGTAGATCATATCCAGTTGTTGTGAGGAACAAACAACCTATGAGGTGCACCTGACCTCACCTGTGGTGAGTTTGTGTGCGTTTATGGGTCTGTGTGATGTAGTTACCCAGAGCCGTGAGCACGCAAGCGCTGAGCGGCGCCGGCTTCCTGAAGATGCTCAACAGAGCTACAGACGCTGTCAGTAAGATGACCATCAAGATGAACGAGTCTGATGTGGTAAGTTCAGCCGCTACGGTGCGATGGTCCCACCTGTTGCTGGGTCCAGACTCACTGTGTGTTCTCCTGCAGTGGTTTGAGGAGAAGCTGCAGGAGGTGGAGTCTGCAGACCAACAGTTCAGGAAGCTCCACACTATGGCCGAGTCTCTGGTTGTCCATAGAAAAGGTGGGTCCTCTAACCCCCAGCGGTTCTGGAGGTCTGTATGCTAACATTTAACCCCCACCCCCCAGAACTCTCCTTAAACACAGCCGGCTTTGCCAAAAGCGCTGCCATGCTGGGCAGCGCGGAGGACAACACCGCTCTGTCCCGGGCCCTGTCCCAGCTGGCTGAGGTGGAGGACAAGATTGAGCAGCTACACCAGGACCAGGCAGCAAACGACACCTTCGGCTTCTCGGAGCTCATCGCTGATTACATTCGGCTGCTGGGGGCGGTGAGGGTAAGGGCCTGGAGATACCGACAGGAGCTTCTGCCTAGAAGCAGCTAGATAGAAATGTGCATGTCCCTGTCTGTTCTGCAGGGAACGTTTGACCAGCGTATGAAGGCGTGGCAGCGCTGGCAGGACGCTCAGGCCATGCTGCAGAAGAAGAGGGAAACTGAGGCCAAGCTGCTGTGGGCCAACAAGCCTGACAAGCTGCAACTGGCCAAGGAGGAGATCACGGAGGTACGTCCCCACAAGCACAGCAGCAGGTCTTTGCTGTGAAGCTCAGAATGACCTCACTTCCTGTTCCTGTTTCCTGTGAGGACAGTGGGAGGCCAAGGTGACTCAGTACGAGAGAGACTTTGAGAGAGTTTCTGCCACCGTCCGTAAGGAGGTCCTCCGCTTCCAGGTACGTCTTCCACCGGTGTCCACATCAGTCACCGGACATGTCCACGCTCTTAAGCTGTTTGTCCAACAGAAAGAGAAGACCAAGAACTTCAAGAGACAGATAATGGTCTACCTGGAGTCTCTGCTTCAGTCGCAGCAACAGGTGAAGTAGCAGCAGCTGGGTTCTGGTTGGGTATGGACAGAACCACAGGTTGGGTCATGAGCTGTTTGTCTCTGGTGTCTCCAGATGATCAAGTACTGGGAGGCATTCCTACCTGAAGCTAAAGCCATCGCCTGACCCCGGTTCTGGTTCAGGCTGCCTTCTCCTCTCGACCTCCGCTGCCTTTAAACCACGTTTGCATTGAAATGGAGACAATCTGCCTGTTTGTTGAATCATTATTTAGCTCCACTGGAATGATCATTGTTGATTTTCACGTCCCAGATTCTCTCTTGGGGGTGGGGCATAGATGACATCATCTCCCTCCTCCACTGGTTAGACCGGAGGCTCAGCAGGCAACTTGACCGCGTCAACTGCATTGTGGGACGCGTCCTTCACACCTGTCCTCTAGAGGACCAGGTCCTGACAAGCATGTGTCCCTCATGGTTCCACCTGACCATGTCTGAAGACAAATCAATAAAGGTTGCACTGTTACACTTCATAAAGATCAGCGGAGTTATTTCTGAATGCTCCAGCGCACGCACGCACACACACACACACACACACACACACACACACACACACACACACACACACACACACACACACACACACATGGCCGTGGTGAACATCAGGTGTTCTTTGTCCCACAGCTGAATGTCCACACCTAGGCTGTTTCAGGAAGGGTGTGATTAAGGCCCAAAACTCACCCTCGCACCCTTCATTTTCGCGTTCCCGGCCAGTGGTGTGAGTGCGTAGGGTGTCCCGATTCTCAGGTGCGGAAGTTGATCACGCCCCTTTTGCACCCTTGATCTATACTTCACCCAAGTCTGCACTCTGCAGCGATGCGGACTTGGGTGAAGGGTGTTACCCACAAGTCATTGATGCGGGAGAAAAGGCTGTAAAAGATGTATTTTCTAATGAAATTAATTCATTTGGCACCATTAGTTGATGCTCTCAAACTTTTAGACAAAGCAGCAATGAAGTCCAATTTATTTCCAGTCACTGTTTGTTTAGAAGTTGTTTTTTAAAGGTTTTTTAACACAGCGACCAGCGTCGTTGTGATGGATTGCGTAACTGTCCCGGTCAGGTCTGCAGCAGCGCACTTCCAAGTGCATTTCCTCCAAGTGCACTTAGCTGAAGTCTGCAGAGCGAGTTTGGAGATCGGGCTGGCGAACCCGATTGGTTTGATTTTTACCTGCATCTTCCTACGGTCCTTCACAATTGTATGAGCCTTAGAGTGAATGAGGAGAGGTTTGATTGTATTTGTTAATGTTTGAAATTATGTTGTTTATTTGATGCGGTCTTGGATGTGTGGGTCAATCAAGTGGGAGCAGAAATCCTTAAAAGTGCTCATCAGTTCCGCCTGGTAAAGACTGTCAGTGAGATGGGGCGCCGCACAGTTGGTTGACCGCGTAACAGATAGTTGAGAATAAAAGTGAACCCAGAAAGCTTTTTTTGTTGACAATGTGAACTATATAGCACAGAAGTATTCAAATCAATTCAACAAGAACCAGGGCCAGATTATCATTGCAGGAGCCCCTGGGCACAATGTGCTTAGGGCCCCCCACCCCACCCGGCCTCCCCCAACATTACTGTCACCCAGAAACACTTTTTAGACATTGCAATATTAAAAATCGCTTGCTTATGTTGATACAAAAGCATTTACCTCCAGGTCAAAATAGTTTTATAACCTAATCACAAACACTCATACCTGATGATTTTCCTGTTGTGCCTCACTTATGTCTTTCTTCCTCTGTCCTCTGTCTTTTCTCCTCTTTTTCTCTCTCTTCCTCACAGTGCTCCTGTCTTCTCTTCTGCCTGTACTAACAAAAATGTTGTCAATCTGTGGGACAGTGGGGGCGAGTGAGTGCTGTAAAAGAGATCCTACTGTCACACTACAACAGAAAGTAATGCAGATTATTTAAAAGATTAAACAATTATTGAAAAGTTTGCAAAGATATCTGCAGGTATTTTGTTTGTCTCCTTTCTCCTTCCTCCTCTTGTCTCCTGTCTCCTTCCTCCTCTTGTCACCTGTCTCCTTCCTCATCTTGTCACCTGTCTCCTTCCTCCTCTTGTCTCCTGTCTCCTTCCTCCTCTTGTCTCCTGTCTCCTTTCTCCTCTTGTCTCCTGTCTCCTTCCTCATCTTGTCTATTTCCTTCCTCTTGACTCCTGTCTCCTTCCTCCTCTTGTCTCCTTACTCCTCTTTTTGTCTCCTCTTGTCTCCTCTCTTGCCTTCAGAAAATCTGCTTTATGGCCTTTCTATTAGTAAATTCATTTACAATGTCATCAAAGTCCAGATTCCTGACCAGCTGAGATTCAACAGCCATCAGTGACAGTGCTCTGAGACGCTGTTGTTTGTGTTCTCAGTTCATTTTTTATTCTTGCCATTTGTGAAAATTATTCCCCTTCACAATTTGCAACTGGTAGCAGGTGTGTTGCAAGCTTTTCAAAAGTGTGGGGGATGCTGTCTGTGCCTAAAATAATTGTTATTCATCTTGTTAGTTTAATTTCCATAATTGCTGAGCAGGTGTGAATTTTAAGACTCATCACGCATGTCTCCGTTTTAAACATGTTTAAACTATTCAGAATACAAATCCAGGCTCTGTCTCGTTAGATTGATGCGACTAAAGTTTGTACTGAATGAATTTTTACATTAAACCATGTTGAAAAGGTAAAAGGATCCGATTAAGTCGTTTTTTTCCCTCATTTACAGTCAGAGCAGTGCGCATGGCTCTGGGGTTAATCAAGTTTGTTTCTCTTTGCAACAATCTTCAGAAGAAGGCAAAACAGTTAAATGGCAGGGTTATAGATATTTCCATTTGACTGTTTATTTTGATGGATAAACTCAAGGTTGCTGGTTGTTATGAAAGAATTACCCCGACGAACACTGATACAGATGAGCTGACATTTAAATCATTACGCACATCGCAGAGGTAACTAAATCAATCAAGAAAAGATTCCCATCAGAACATCAGAGCTTTATACTGGACACTGTGCCGCTCGCAGCGCACACTGTGGACAGTGAGCTGAAGATCTGTAGAGGGGTTTGCAGCGCAGTGCAGAACCACTGCGATGCGTAAGATTTCCTCCCACTGAAACGGTCTGGAAACCCGGTCTCTCTGAGGGATGTTACTTGGAAAAATGTTCTCTGATTATGAAAGTTTGGCTGAATAGCGCTTGTTCCCGTCTCTAATATGGAGACGCATGATGCATCCAGTCTGAGGCAGAATAGCCTCTTCAGCTCAGAAAGCTCCTGTAGAGACATTTGATCACGCACAAAGTTTATGTGGAGCAGAAGCGGTCGGGCCACGGCAGGTGAAACGTTCCTAGCCTACATGAGGTGAAACGGTTTAATTGTAACATTAATATGTTACTGGACACGCTGGTCTGGTTGGTTAGACCAGTGTTTGAAGTGGAAAACACACACACACATTAAAATAATGCTGATAGCGTGGACTAGAAGACGTGATGGTTTACGTATTTAAATGATGATCAGGCTGCTGTAAAATGTAATCTCCATCCACATCCAGACAGAATTATCCTCTGTGTCTCTATTTTCTCTGCCCTTGTCTGGGCTGTTGTAGCTGATGGTGCAGTACCCTTATGAACGGTGAGAGGTACATATAAGTGCAGATAGTTAGAAAAATCTGCAGGGCCACAAACACATTAGGGAAGATGGACTGTATTTTTAGACCAAAAACGATCATGGTTCTATTCATATTACATTATTCATGTGGACCCTCCGGGGATTTAGAGCTGAGAGGCGCAGAGCTCTGATGGTTGATGCGCTCCAGATGTGTCCTGAGCACGGCCACAGTAATTCTCAAAGTGTCGCCACCTCAAAAACAATTTTAACACGTGACGCAATTGTTTGCCGGCCTATATTCTTTTATGTTTTCTGTCTTTTATTTGTGCCTGATGTGTTTTACTGCTGCAGAGCGGAGCGCATCACCGGTTTCGTCCTCCGGTTAATTCAGCACCGGTGCAGCTGGGTGCGCACTCAGCTATTTTTGCGGTCGGTAGATCTTTTTTCACTGCAGTTCAAAGGTAACCCATAAGGTGAATATATATGAAGCCAGGTAGCAGTTTTTCTTTAGGACTGAGAGAAGATGCAGGACGATAATAAACAAGAGACAGGACAGAAAAAAATAATAAAAAACAAGTTAGTTTTTGTACCTGGTGGTTGCAACAAACAGACGCGAGAACAGAAAATTAAATGATTCTTTCAATGTTTAGAGGAGCGGGGAGAGGGCTGAAGCGGAGCAGTATAGATGCAGATACGAGATGTTTAACTTTGAAAATGTGGACGCAATTTTAATTGTCAAAATTTTTCTCCGTTGACTGCTGCACAAAAAAAAAACTGCTGCTTGCTTGGGCCCCTGGTTCAGATTCAGATTTCAGATTTATTGGCCAAGTAAAAGTACATTTACAAGGAATTTGTCTTCGGTAGATGTTCGCTCTCTAAAACATACAACAACCATAATAAATGAGAATAAAAATACCTAAAAACACTAACATGTATACCCACACACATGTTCATTTACGCACACACCTATATACATATACACATACCCCACACACACACGCACGCACACACACACACACACATATCCATAAGCATACTGATTAAGTATTAAAAACTATAGTAAAACGATGGTAAAATAATCTACAGATTCAGGAGAGAAATGGCTGAAGGAAAGAAACTGTTCTTGTGTCTGGTGGTTTTTGTGTACAGTGATCTATAGCGTTCTGTGCCCAGTTTGCCCATATTATAATCCGGCCTTGACAAGGACCAAAATGATCTCAGTTGGTTATTGTTCATCGCGTCACTACTGGACCCTGTCTGGGTCACGTTTCCGGGAGCCGCTGGAACAACAATAAAAGCCTCAAACAGACAATATTTTTTAATAGGAGTTAGACCTTTTGATGGTGCTGGGACACTTAAGTCCATCCAAGCCCCGCCCACACAACACAAACACCTGGTTGGTTCCTTTTATTATAAATTATGTACAATAAGATGCAACACATCATAACCTCACTTCCTGCAGCACACATGACACCTGAGAGGGACAGGTACCATTACACCACAACCAACATCTGTGTAGTCAGACACCAGCAGGAACTTTAACCACTGTGTCCAGCACCAGAAGATGGAGGAGACAGGAGCGTCTTCCTGGATGAGCTCCAAGCTGGGAGTCCATTATTCCTTCTGGAGAGGAGGAGCGCTGAAACACTCCAGACGGAAGAAAATCAGCTTCCTCTGTTAGTTGATGAGGACGGCAGCTGCTCATGGACATGGAGGACATCCAGCTGAGTCGGCCCCGGGTCGAGGGCTGCTCGAGAGCGCCGCTCGAGCCACATACCTAAGAAGCCCTCCATGTTGAAAACAGATAACGTCCTTCTCAGAGTCAAACATGGCGGTGACGCAGAAGGATGTTCCTTTGCTGGTCTGCAAAAGAACCCATAAACATCAGAAAGCTTCTGAGGTGAAAGGACCTGAGTGATTTGGAGCAGAGCCACCTACCTTCACAGTGAGCTGCTGCCTCAGACCCACGCTCTCAGGGACCAGAATGGTGAAGCGCTCCTTCCCACTGAGATCCAGGGAGTCGGCATTTTGGCCAGAGATGAACTGGAGCGGTAAGATTCCCATTCCCACTAGCTGGTTCTTGTGAAGGTTCTCAAAACTTTCTGCGATGACAGCGCGCACCCCCTGCAAGCCCACAGAATCAGAACCAAGTTCTACAAGAGCTCAGGAGGGATTCTGGACATGTGCCCAGCTGATTACCAGCAGGTAGGGTCCTTTAGCCACCCAGTCCCTGGAGCTACCGGAGCCGTAGTCTCTGCCGGCGAGGATGATGAGGGGGACACCGTCTCTCTGGTAACGGTCAGCTGCTTCAAACACATCCATCTGGACCGAGGACACAGACAAGCGTAAGGGTCACCGGTCTGACTGGAACCGGCTCTAGCACGATAAACCAGGACCGAGTCCGCGCTGAGACCCGTACTACTCACGGTCTGGCCCGAAGGAATGTGCAGAGTCTTCGGACCCGGTTTGCCGATTAATCGGTTCTGGAGCTTGATGCTGGCAAACGTTCCTCTGGTCATCACGGCGTCATTCCCCCTGCGAGCGCCATAGGAGTTAAACTGTCGCGGCGTCAGACTGAGAAGAGGAATAAAACAAACCGCTAGATTTAGGGTGTCTCTGGGTTTGAACGAGCCCGATATTAGCTCCTCCCTCCCGCGCTGCCACCTCCCACACATCGTTCTAACAACGTCTAGACCCTCCTTGACTTCCTTTTCTAAAACCACCAGGCTACATTTGTGGAGTCCAGGTTAGCAGACTAGTATCTTGTATTTTATTGACATAAATCAGCTTTATTCATTCATGAGAACTGTTGGAAAAATAACATTACAAAACAATTACTGGAAAGGTTTGTATTAAAGCCTCTTAAAAAGAAGAAAATATCATTTCTGTAGCGCCTCTCAAGATAAAAATCCCGAGTAGTTTCAGAAAAACAAAATGTAAAAATATGAAAGAATTTAGAAAATGATTAAAAATATATTTAAAAAGAGCAAAATATAGACAATTGTGATTAAAATGTAAAGAGTGAAAAGGAAAGAGGGAAATCAGTGGTAGGTAGGGAAGGTCACACAAAAGCCAGCCTGAACAAGTGTTTTCAGCTGCTTTTTAAAGGAGACCACTGAGTCCACTGATCTCAGGCTCAGGGGAGAGACCATTACATGTTCTTCATCTCCATAGTTTTCAGAAGTTTTGGGTCATTTATGTTTCATGTATGGTATTTATAACACCTGAACACTATGAAAAAGTCACATCGCTGCTTATAGGGCAGGGTCTGAGGGAACAGGCCAGCTGATCCAGATCTGGCCCAAAAGGATGGAGACCCCTGCTCCAAACTATTAATACAAGTTAGTTCCAAAGCTGTGTGGCAGCCATCTTGAATATGACCAGAGTCATTAAGAAGTAGGACTTCTAGGCAGAAGCTCTTCTGTTCTTCCACTGTGTGAAGAGGATGCTCTGGTGCACACGAGGAGTCAGGAACTGTTTCTCGTTTATCTTTCATTGCCTGTGATCCTGTGAAATATCATGACTGAATCGTGCTATCTCAGTTCCACAATGGTGCAGCCCTACCAGCTCATATGAACTAAACGATCCCACACCTGCGTGTTTCATCAACCCACCGTTTGCTCAGCAGGTACTTGGCAGCAGCGCTGGCCCTGGCAATGCTGCCTGCTGGTGAGATGTGGTCCGTGGTCACTTTGTCTCCCAGGAAGAGTAAGGCGTGAGCGTTTTCTATTGGCTGAGCAGCCGGAACGTCTTTACTCTGCAAACATTTGTAATAAGGAAGAGGTGAACAGTTTCAGGAAGCAAGGAGACGAAAGACAAGAGGACCTACCAGTCTGCTAAAAAACGGTGGTGGGTGGATATACGTGGACTTGAAGTCCCAGGAGAAAACAACAGAGTCCGGACATTCCAGGTTGTTCCAAAACGTGTTCCCCTTCTGAAACAAGCACATTTGTTATGAAAATGGATGCTTCATAGTGACATCTTCTACCTACAGCAGGATGCTAGAGTGTGTATGAATGGATGGTTGCTGCCATAAAACATCAGCCATATAGGAGACACACAGAGAGAAGCTCCTCCTTCAGCAGCCCTAAACACCTCCTGGAGCTTCTGATGACAGTCTGGATTCTGGACTTTACAGAACATCTCTAGTTCCTTCAGGTCTGACACTCCTGAGCATGGACAGCTCCCTAAAGGCGCTTACACATCAGCGTCGGCACGGCCCCATACGGTACCCAAAGGCACCAGAATTTGATTTATCACACAGGTCAGATTTGCGCTAATGTGTAAGCACCATAACTCACACCACAGACGTTCATTAACAATCAGGTCTGGGGACTGAGATGGCCATTCCAGAACCTTCTACTTGTTCCTCTGCCTGAGTAGATGCTGAGGGCCGTAGTTGTTGAAAGGTCCCGCCCCGCTGCAGCTTTGTCACTGATTCCTGGACACTGGTCTCCAGAATCTGCTGATACTGAGGGGAATCCATGCGTCTCTCTGCTTTAACAAGATTCCCACACAGCCCACAGCATGATGGAACCACCACCGTGTTTCACTACAGTAGCAGGTGTTTTCTGTGTTCTTGTTCCTCCATGCAAATAACTGTTTTAGCTTCATCAGTCCACAGAACTTTACTAATGAAGCTGGCTAGTCCAGATGTGCTTTGGCCGACCTCCAGCTGCTCTGTTCAAGCTGTGGGTGGAGAAAGGGCCTTCTCTGCATCACTCTCACATACAGCATCTCCTTGTGCTGTTGAACGAAGCAGCGAGACACCATCTGCAGCCAGATGATGCTGTAGGCCTCTGGTGCTGGTCTGTGTGGACTCTGTTCTCCTGTCTATCCCAGATGTTTCTGTCATCTAAGCCTTAACTTGAACTGTGCCTGTGGCCTTCCACCTCCTCGGTGTGTTCCTAACGGTGGACAGCTGGGATCTCGGACAGCTGTCTCAGGCCCAATCTCAGTACTCGCACTGCGCCCTGCGGACTTCAGCAAAGTGCACTTGGAGAAAGTGTGCAGTAGGGTTCGAGTGCGTAGTACACAAGTGTGCAGATGATTGCAGAATTGAGACAGAGAGCATTGCATCACCGATCACAACGCATGCCGGGATGCTGGTCGCTGTGAAACATTTTTCAAAAACCTTTATTATGTTTATGTTTATTTATTTAGCAGACACTTTTATCCAAAGCGACTTACAATTTATAACCTGTAGGGCATGTTGTGATCTGTGGGGGAAACCGGAGTACCCGGAGGAAACCCACGCATGCATGGGGAGAACACGCAACTCCACGCAGAAAGGCCGCAGCCGAGTTTTGAACCTGCAACCTTCGTGCTGCGAGGCAACAGTGCTAACAACTGCGCCACCATGCAGTTAACAACTCTCAAACAAACATTTGAAATAAATGTAACTTCATTGCTGCTTTGTCTAAAACATTCAGAGCATCAACTAATCATCCTAAAATGAACTCATTTCATTAGAAAATACATATTTTCAGAAAAGGAACTTGACCCTTTTCTCCTGCAGCAATGTCTTGTGGGTAATACCCTTGCCTGAGGTCCGCATCGCTGTGGACTTGGGTGAAGTGCAGATTAAGGGTGCAATGGGGGCGTGGCCAACTTCCACACTTGAGAATCGGGACACCCTACGCACTCGCACCGCTGGCCAGGAACGCACTGTAGCGACATGAATGGCCTCATTTGTGACCCAAAGGTCACACTTCCTCAGCTGGGTCAAGCTGTCCTGGCTGTACTTCTATCTACAGATTATCCTTCACAGGAGACGCGAAGACTGCTGGAAACCATCTTTAATCTGAACGGCCTTACCATATCTTGACTTCCTTTGCCTCCACAGCAAGACAAGGACTTTATCACGTTCCAGAAGAATCATTTATAATAAACTCTTTTTACTGTTAAATCACCAAAGGTTCATTATAAATGTATTTAATTACTGAAATGAATTATTATTCTGTGGTTAATAATTATTTATGATAATCAGAAATGTTTAATCATGACAAGTGTATTATTTGCATCCTCACACAGTCTCCATGTTAAATGGTAACCTTGCACTCACATAACCTTTTATCACATGACAACCCAGAACTTTCTGTCTCTGAGAGGGCGTGTTCCGAGGTATGTTAAGTCCCACCCTCTAACATGTCAAAATCTAATTAGTTAGAATAAGATTACCGGCCGTCTATTAAAACATAACTCCTCAGTTCAAGTTCAGTTCTTGAGCTCACCAAATTCTCTCCGTGGCAACCAGAGTCCAGAGGATCGAGTCGGCCGTTCGAAACCTCTACTAAAGCTTTTCTGTCACGCCGATAGAATTGCTTCAACAGAAACGCCATCTGCAGCACAAGCTGATGCAAAACTCCTTCAGTTATTTTAAGACTCAAAACCATCCACCTGTGTCACCTGCGACATCTCTAGGACCAGAGTCGGTACAACTGGTCTTCCCTACCAGACCGAGTACCCAGAGGCTGATCAACATCCTCCCTTGACCTCCGGATCTGAACAGAGAGTCATCTGAACGGTGAGGTAGACACTTCCGACAGATTGCGCCTGAATGCCTTTTATTAAGAAATAATTTAGCTTAACTGCAAACCAAATTCTTTCACCCAGAACGCGTTTTTCTCTCTCTAAGATAAAAAAAACCTGAGACCTAATCCAAACATCCAAACACACACATTTCATGTTTAGTTTTCATCCAGACATGAATTGTTTTAATACCAAGTTTTAATACCAAAGCCTTTTATAAATTGTCATTTATGAATTGTCTTTTAAACAGTCATCTTTCAATTGTTAGTAATACATTCTTAACTTTTTAAATCTGACTCTTCTTTGAAATAAAACACAGAGTGGTGTATATTGATCACTGATGAGCAAAGATATCTTTAGATCTTCTGAGTTAATAAATAAACTTTTGCTATTAATTTAAATCTCTTAAATTAAATATTAAACTTTTGATTAAATATAGACCAAGCCAGTTGGTGTATGAACTTCTATCGATTATATAAATATCCGTGGATATATATATATATATATATATATATATATATATATATATATATATATATATATATATATATATATGATATAAGTTTCATTGCCTATTTGTTTGATCTTACTGAGGGTTTAACAAAGCTGAATCGCAACAGCAGTTAGTCTAGTTACGTAGATTAACAACGCTACGACACAAATGAAGGGTGCGAGTATCGGGTTTGGGCCTGAGTCCTCCCCTAAAGCGCTCCTGTCTCTGCTTCAGCACACCTGATTTACATCGGAGTAGCCAGACCCCTGACCTGAATCATGATGGAGAACAATCTGTGTGTTCAGCTCAGACCTTCAGACAAAACCCTTAAATATTCTGTCATACCTGGAGTCACCTGTGTGTGGAGGTCAAAGGTCACTGAGTTTTGGAACCAATAAAAGGCCCACATTCATGCAGTAGCCTAACTGTGTCTAAACTGTGCCGCTCCTATAGGAGGTGGTTAAGTTTGTACAGGAGAATCGTGAAGATCCACAGGCTGCTCATCCCTCTGAACAACCACACTACCTCCATCCTTCTCTTCAGATCCTTAAAGATGGAGGAGATGACTGTGTCCTCCTCAGTCTGCTGGACCTCCTCTCTGGATGGCCAGATGTCCCGGAGATACACCTCCTCCCCTCCTGGTGTCAGACCTGTCCCAGCAAATCACACACACACACACACACGTTCGGTCTCTGGAAACCCTCTATGAGCTCCAGCTTTTAGATTGCTCCTCACCCAGTGGCTCCTTCTCAAAGTCGATTCCCACCGTTCCTGCTATGGCATACGCCACCACCAGGGGTGGGGGGGCCAGGTAGTTGGCGCGTACACAGTCACACAGGCGGCCTTCGAAGTGCCGGTTCCCAGACAGCACACCACAGGCCACCAAGTCCCCCTGAAACACACCAACAGCTCAGCCCGTGCTCTCAGCCGGACACTGCACAGGTACACACTTTTACCTTTCTTATGGCGTCAACGACAGCTTCCGGTAAAGGAGCCATGTTCCCAACGCAGGTGGCACAGCCGTAGCCAATCACCTCAAAGCTGCCACACACAAACATCAGCCTAGTGAGTCATCACACGTAGTGGTGCAACGGAGCAAGAAAGTCACGGTTTTGTGTCACGAATCAAATCATTTCAGATCAGCAGAGAAGAAGAAAAGATGAAGTTCTGACACGGGTCGGCACCCTCTCTTGGCCGGGAGCTACTTTTACACAATGAAAGAACAGAAGAGCTTCTGCCATACGATTCATTCACATCCATACTCTCCATGTGTGAATAATTTAGGGCTGGGCCGTAATGGGCGCTGTGGCAAGGCCAGACTCTTAACACGAGATAGAAAAATGTCACCGTTAATCTACTCTCAAAGTTGGGTTGGGCTCTATAAGCTAGGACTGCCCCTCCTTGCCTTTTGTGGAAGTAACATAAAAATCTGATTATTGTACATATCACTTGGCAAATATGTTCAAGTGGAAATACGCAGATTCACCGCGGGGGCTAACCCAGCAGGGATGAGTAACGGCAGCTGAAAGGGCACTACTACGCTTCCACAGACACACCCAGGAGGAAAATGTGGTCTCTACACATACTACATTAACTACATGGACTCTCGGCGTACCAAGCATTCTTCTGAGCGGAGACGAAGGTTAGCGCTGATCGGCAACGCACTGCAGACTCATGCACGGCCGCAGTAACATTCTCAAAGTGGCGCCATCAAAACACATATAACACACGACCCTTCATGTCCGCTCATGTTCTCCGGTACGTTCTGTCTTTATCCATGCCTGACGTGCTCCGTGGCAGCAGAACTCGTCACCCATTGTCTTCACCTGACTGGTGCAGCCGTTCACGCACTGCGCTGTTCTGCGGTGGTTAGATGCCTTTGATCTGCTTAGTTAAAGTAACTGCTGAGGTGAAAAAGGAGGAAGCCAGGCACCTTCGAAACTCAGTCCCACCCAGGGCCGTATCAAGGCCTTTTGGGGACCAAGGCAGCAGAGCGCCCCCGGATGCCTCGGTGTAGTTCGTACCCTGCCAGACCAGATTCCCTGTTTCAACCGATCCTCCCATTTTAATAATAAACAACAACAGAGCTCAGGAGTAAAACACGAGTCTGAATCCTCCCATGCGGGGAAGTCATCAGACCCACAGATCAGCTCAAGAGGCTGAGGAAAAGCTTTATTTTATTATTGTCGATAATAAAACACACCAAAGCACCATTTTATTTGTAGTCATTCGCTTCGATGAGCAAGAGAAAATCAGGGAAAATAATTCAACGAATCAGGAAAAGAGAAAGAAATGTTCTTCACTTTAGTTCTAACTGTTTACACTTTTGTTTGTTTGTCACGTTTAGTTGTCCATTATATAAATACCTTCAGCTTTAGTCATTTAGAGAATTTTTGTGTTTCTTTGTTTGGAAAAATATTCTCAACAATTATTTGAAAGGTTTTATACTTTTCAAACTAAGTTTTGAATGTGAAACTTTAATGAAATCACATTATATAGTTTTTAGAAATAATTTTATTTAACGATTTCTCAGTTTGTGAAGTATTTTGAAAACAGGAGATAAGCCCCTGGTCTAATGCACCACCTGGCCTGTTCTCAAACACTTCCTGTTAGGCATGACTTATGTAGCACACACACATTATGAATGCCTTTGGCAAAATTAAAATGAGCCACTTTAATCTAGATTAATTCCAAGATTACAGTGAGATTAATCTAGATTTAAAAAATAATCTTTGCCCACCCCTAGTAAATATGTTTCTATGTTAACAAACTTAGTTTTCACTACCCGAGTTCTCTGTGGTTTTGAAAACATCAAGTACCGTAATTTCTGGACTACAAGTCGCACTTTTTTTCATAGTCTGGCTGGTCCTGCGACTTATATACCAAATTATGTATAGCGCACTGCTGCGGGCCGGCTCCGGACAAGGAATGAGCTCCTCTGCCTCATCATCACCAGCTGGAGCCTGTGGCGGGGTGATGCGGCCCCCCCTCCCCCCGTTTCTGGGAGGGTTTGAAACACCGCCATCCTCTGCTGGAGACCGTGGTTCGCTGCTGCGCCCCGATTGTTCATTCTGTTATTGTTACCGGTACTTGTCTCGCAATGTGCAATGCTTGGTCTAAGATTTTGTAAGAAAAGTAATAACATTTCCCCCCAAAATGCGACTTAATAGTCCAGTGTGACTTATGCATGTTTTTTTCTTCTTCATTATACATTTTATGGCTGGTGCGACTTATACTCCGGAAAATACGGTACAAGGAAGATATGGACATTCTGAAAATCAAAGTAAACAAAACATTTAGTTTATGAACTAATCAGATAAGTTCAGATAATGAATAACTGAACTAGTCTGTGTGAATGACGTGGCATTTGGATCAGTAACATAAGTTTACAGCTAGCCTGTTCCCTCAGACCTTGCCCTAAGCAGCAATGTGAATTTTTCAGTGTTCAGGTATTTAGTCATAAATGACCCAAAACTTCTGAAAACTATGGAGATAAAGAACATGTAATGCTCTTTAAGAGGCTTTAATACAAACCTTTCCAGTAATTGTTTTGTAATGTTTATTTTTCCAACAGTTCTCATAGATTAATAAAGCTGAAATATGTCAATAAAGTACAAGATAAATGGGATGAAAACACAACATAGTTTGAACTGAAGTAAAAATGTAAAAACACAAATAACATTTCTTCATGCTTTCCGGATTCATTTAATAATTTTTATGTTTTTTTGCTCATGAAAGTTACGTTTCGCTTCAATAACTGCTGGTTTTCTGTTGACAATATTAAAATAAGGTTGGATGTTGATCCTTCTTCTCTGGATCAGTTGATCTGCGGTTGTGCAACAGAGCAGAGAGCTTTAAAAATCCCGTTTCTGTAGTAACAGGGAGTGCAGAATTATTAGGCAAATGAGTATTTTGTCCACATCATCCTCTTCATGCATGTTGTCTTACTCCAAGCTGTATAGGCTCGAAAGCCTACTACCAATGAAGCATATTAGGTGATGTGCATCTCTAATGAGAAGGGGTGTGGTCTAATGACATCAACACCCTATATCAGGTGTGCATAATTATTAGGCACCTTCCTTTCCTTTGGCAAAATGGGTCAAAAGAAGGACTTGACAGGCTCAGAAAGGTAAAAAATAGTGAGATATCTTGCAGAGGGATGCAGCAGTCTTAAAACTGCAAAGCTTCTGAAGCGTGATCATCGAACAATCAAGCGTTTCATTCAAAATAGTCAACAGGGTCGCAAGAAGCGTGTGGACAAACCAAGGCACAAAATAAAGCCTGATTCATGCTTCTCCGTCTGCGTCCGCAGCTCCGCAAGGACGGACGGAGTCGAGCTCTCTTTTCTAAACATCCGTCAGTCGAGACGGACAACGCAAGCTTGTGATTGGCCAGGACGCCGCTGTTGTCTACAGCGCCGCCATTGCGCCCTCAAAAACATAAAGAGAGCCGAGGATAACCAGCGGCAGACACGGAGAAGCTTGAAGAACACCTCGTGAAAAAACTCATGAATGTTTAATCCCCTCGTGACTGGAGGAGTGAAAAGATGCGCAGCAAGTGTTTTATTTGTGGATGGAAATGACAGGAAACGTGGGTTTAGAGGTGGTGAGCGCATGAAGAGGTGGAGGAGAATGAGAGACAAATTTGTCTGTGTTAAAAGTCTCTTATATACAAAACACAATATAAACACACCATCTTGGACCGATACATGACAGGGTACCACAGAACAGCGCTATGCCCTCTGTTGTCCTTCCGGAGAATTGCTTTGCAACGCTCTCCAGGAGAGGGAGAAGTATGAGACCAAAACGCTTCCGTCAATCCGTGCGTGTCTGTCCCTTGCGGAGCTGACGGAGAAGCATGAACCAGGCTTAACTGCCCATGAACTGAGAGAAGTCAAGCGTGCAGCTGCCAAGATGCCACTTGCCACCAGTTTGGCCATATCTCAGAGCTGCAACATCACTGGAGTGCCCAAAAGCACAAGGTGTGCAATACTCAGAGACATGGCCAAGGTAAGAAAGGCTGAAAGACGACCACCACTGAACAAGACACACAAGCTGAAACATCAAGACTGGGCCAAGAAATATCTCAAGACTGATTTTTCTAAGGTTTCATGGACTGATGAAACGAGAGTGAGTCTTGATGGACCAGATGGATGGGCCCGTGGCTGGATTGGTAAAGAGCAGAGAGCTCCAGTCCGACTCAGACGCCAGCAAGGTGGAGGTGGAGTACTGGTTTGGGCTGGTATCATCAAAGATGAGCTTGTGGGGCCTTTTCGGGTTGAGGATGGAGTCGAGCTCAACTCCCAGTACTACTGCCAGTTTCTGGAAGACACCTTCTTCAAGCAGTGGTACAGGAAGAAGTCTGCATCCTTCAAGAAAAACATGATTTTCATGCAGGACAATGCTCCATCACACGCGTCCAAGTACTCCACAGCGTGGCTGGCAAGAAAGGGTATAAAAGAAGAAAAACTAATGACATGGCCTCCTTGTTCACCTGATCTGAACCCCATTGAGAACCTGTGGTCCATCATCAAATGTGAGATTTACAAGGAGGGAAACCCGTACACCTCTCTGAACAATGTCTAGGAGGCTGTGGTTGCTGCTGCACGCAATGTTGATGGTGAACAGATCAAAACACAGACAGAATCCATGGATGGCAGGCTTTTGAGTGTCCTTGCAAAGAAAGGTGGCCAAATTGGTCGCTGATTTGTTTTTGAATGTCAGAAATGTATATTTGGGAATGTGGAGATGTTATATTGGTTTCACAGGTAAAAATAAATAATTGAAATGGGTATATATTTGTTTTTTGTTAAGTTGCCTAATAATTATGAACAGTAATAGTCACCTGCACACACAGATATTCCCCTAAAATAAATATAACTAAAAACTACTTCCAAAAACATTCAGCTTTGGTATTAATGAGTGTTTTGGGTTCATTGAGAACATGGTTGTTGTTCAATAATAAAATAATTCCTCAAAAATTTAACTTGCCTAATAATTCTGCTCTCCCTGTAAATGGGACAATCAGCTGAAACTAAATCTCAGTTGTCCAGAGTGTAGAGCCTGTGTTCATAACCAACAGCGTTTGATCTGCGTTAACGAGCCGTTACCACAGATAGGACTTTACAGACTTCCAGATGTTCTTCTGAAACCAGGTTTGTATGAGCGACGCCACCCCGGCATTCTTAGAAGGACATCTTCATCCACCTGCAGCTGCTGAGATCAGAAACGAGGATACGAGCTGCAACCTGAACACTTCATCTGTGTATTTCTACTAGAACGCGCCTGCCAGTAATCCCATTTTTATATTACTTCCACTAAAAGCTCATTTTAGATGAGATGTTACAGAACACGGGAAAGGCTGGCCCTCGTTGGTTGGGAGTCAGGCAGGATGCTCGCTGGCTGCTTCCAGACCAGGAGACCCTGGTTTTAATGTTGATTAATACAAACAGCATTCAGCTCAAGACTCATTTAATGCTGTTACCTTCTGTGATATCTGTAATCTCAAAGATTGTTATAACTGAATGATTCTTACTGTGTAGGGTGACCATGTCACATTGGTCAGTAAGAATGTTCTCACAGATATCCGGAACGTTCATTTCCACCAGGAACAACAGGTTACAGACATGTCTGTCTAACTAATTAGTTAGGGCTGCAGCTATCCAATATCTTAGTATTCGAGTATTCTATCGAATCTTCCATCGATTAATCGAGTAATCTATTTGACGACGTTTCAAGTGAAACGAGATCATGGCCTGCTGCAAAAATATGAAAATAAAAAGCAAAATGATAAAAGACTCAATAATACATAATTAAGTGGTGTTGTCTAGTTCCCTCTCTCCCAGCTGATATTTATAGTTAATAAATATTTTATGGAACAACATTTGACTTACATTTCAGACACAATCTAGGTTTGTGTTGACCTCATCCTAGTCAAAGTAACATATTTAAAAATATCCACACATAATGAGTAGAATTTCATTACTTCATTAACATGTTCAGTAGAAGCTACTGGAAATGCTAACATTTATGTTAAACTGTAATGGTGACATGCCTATTACGCACGGGTTAACAGTAATCCTGTTTAATTATGTTCACAGATATATGCTACAGTGGCTTGCCGTATCCCTGCAGCGCTGCAGACAGCTAATGAACGGGATGATAGGACTTTTCTTCTGCTTGTTGAATAGATGTTCTTAGATTCACGGCCATCGTGTTTCTTCTGAGCCCGCTTGTTAGTGAGCCCGCTACCTGCTAGCATTAGCTAGTCTGCCCACAGTTACTCTTTAGATACCAAACTCTGGACCGTCTCTGCCTCTGTTGTCCTCCACAGCTCGTGGAGTAGCTCAGTGTGCCGGTAGAAGCATCTTCCTTACATGATAATTACACATTTATGGGTCTCTGTTCTGGTCTGCCTCTGTCTGCTCTGCTGCTGCATCAGATGAGCTGCACACATCGATTGTTACATAAACGTTGCACAACACGACGAATCGATGACAAAAAGTGTTGCCAACGAATTTCTTCATAGACTTTTACTGACTTTATCGATTTGTTGTTGCAGCCCTAATCTCTTAACTTAATTCCTTATTATGGATATCCTTAATTATCATTTCTATAGTAACAACATAGCTGTTGATGCCTTTGTTTGCTATTCTGACTAACGAGATTAGTTCTAGGATAAATTACATAAAAGAAAGGCTTACAGAGGTCTGATAGCTGACTAAATGGTAAAACGGCTTGCTCTACACATTTCCTGTTTTCACTCGGGTCCTCGCCTCTCTGAAGCACTGTTTATGTCTCTTTCCTCCCCGTTTACAGATCAGGCCCCACCAACATTTCAGGTCCCAACACGTTAACCTACAATTGTCCCAGGCACTGTGAACGCACCACCCTCGCCCTGCTCTACAGCGATCAGGGGTGTGAGCGGCGCTGCGGCCTCAGGCTAGAGGTGTGTGTGTGTGTTTGTGTGTGAGTGGGCGCGACTGTGTGTGTTCATGTGTGTGTATGTATGTGTGTGTGTGTGTGTGTGTGTGCGCGCGCGAGTGTGCGACTGTGTTTGTGTGTTCGTGTGTGAGTGTGCGCAAGTGTGTGTGTTCATGTGTGTGTGTGTATGTGTGTGTTTGTGTGTTCGTGTGTGAGAGTGTGTGTGTGTGTGTGTGTGTGTGCGACTGTGTTTGTGCGTTCGTGTGTGAGTGTGCGCGAGTGTGTGTGTGTTCATGTGTGTGTGTGTTCGTTTGTGTATGTGTGTGCACGTGTGTTTGCGACTGTGTTTGTGTGTTCGTGTGTGTATGTGTGTGTGTGTGTGTTCATGTATGTGTGTGTGTTCGTGTGTGTATTTATGTATGTATGTGTGTGTTTGTGTGTGTATGTATGTGAGTGTGTGTGTATGTGTGTGTGTTCGTGTGTGTATGTGTGTGTATATGTGTGTGTGTGTTCATATGCGTGTGTGTGTATGTGCGCGCGACTGTGTGTGTGTGTGTTCGTGTGTGTGTGTGTGTGTGTGTGCGCGACTGTGTTTGTGTGTGTGTGTGTGTGTGTGCGCGACTGTTTGTGTGTTCGTGTGTGTGTGTGTGTACGTTTCCACCACCCAAACCCTAACCCTACCCAGCCACTGCACACCGCATCAGTGAGTTAGCTCTGGTCAGTCAGAGGTGGCAGCCATCTTTAAATGGGTTGGCTCCACAGTGAACCAGTTGTAGACGAACATCCGTTTCATTCATTGTGACTGGTAACATGAGACCATTAGCCAACGGCAGTAACGCCTGCTCACTACGGTGGCCGTGTTTAGACCCACCCCAGCTGCTTTAAGTAAGGCAGTACTCCACTGGTGCTGAGGTAGTGGGTCACCATGCCGCTCCCAGGGGCCAGGCTGGTCTGGATGTAGGGTCGGACCACAAGCCCCGCCTCCACAGCCTTCTTGGCCAGTAGACCTGTCAGGAACAAACATTGCTGATGTTTGTGGATGGGTGAAGAGGTTTAGGATCCTTTCTACCTGAATGTTGGAACGACGAAAGAGCATTACTAACCTGCAGTCAGCATGACCGACGGATTACAGTTGTTGGTGCAGCTGATAACAGCGGCGATCACCACGGCGCCATGGGCCAGCCTATACTCCTGACCACAGTGCAGGAGTGGAACTTGGATCTTCTGCTTCTCCTTGGAGATGTGAAAGCCTTTAAAACCCACCTGAGACAAAAGAGAAGACTCAACAACAGAACAAACCTAGGGCTGCTCACTTCATCAAAGTCTAATCACAATTACCGTCTGGGTTTTAACGGTTATAAAATGATTATTTGCTCCTTCCTGGTGGTGTACAAATCAAGCGCACCTCTCACGCCACGTTGACAACTTAGTAACTTTGTCACTATTTCTAACAACTCGTCAGACCCCTTCCTGACTTCTGTTTCCTAAAAGCACCAGCGAACAACCAGGCTACATTTCTGAACACTCTTAGCTGCTTTCTGTATAGATTTGCCGTCAATATTCTCAGCAGGTGAGTAAAACACTCAGCTGCGCTCCAGACCGTCTCACAACTCCGGACACTGGGAAAGGGAATGAGCAGCATGATCACGTAACGTCGACTGACCAGTCATAGACCTTCCTCGGTGGAGGTCACACACTAAAAGTAGCTACATAACTCTCCTACATGGTCTCTGTGCTGCTGGACAGGGCTACATAATTCCTACGCAGCAGGTTCTGGAAGTTCACCACACCACAGCTGTTTCTATTTCATGTTACAGACCTTGTTACATGTTCTGTGTACCACATGCGTGGCGCTTTGTTGCAGACTTTTGCAACTCCGTAGCTTTCCACGCTGTAATCTCTCCGATTACTGGCTGGAAACATCTTTAATAATCCAAAGTAGGACATATTTTAGTATTAAACAGTAAAACTCAAAGGTTGCAGTTGCTTACCTTATACAACATGCGTGCTTATACAAGCTGATAGCCACAAGTTAGTTGCACTGAAATATTTCAACGCCTAATTAATCAAAAATAATAAAAACATATTTAAATAAGTGTTTATTGGTAATGATTTATTTTGTGTATTGCAACAGGTGGTTCAAGAATGTAATATTAAGCAGGCTTAAAGCACATGTGGGTAACTAACTTATACATTACCTGCAGCTCCCTGGTGGCTCATGTCCACATCGTGATTGCAGATGAAGCTGAATGCTTGCTCAGGTAGTTTAGAGGGTCACAAGCATGGCCGCCATTTTTATTTGATTTTTTTCTCATTCATTTGGAAACTGTTTTATTTGATTAATTTCTTGTTGTTTGTTTTGTAAAAAGCTGAATTGGTTCCCTTTCTAGTTTCTAACTTGGAAAGGTTCATTCCGGCTGATTTTCCACTTCCTGCATCTTTAATCTGCTCTGATTATAAAATGTTTTGCTTGATGGGTGACCAAAATAAACTGCTAACATAAACGAAGCTACTGTGTATAAACCTGTAGGACTGAATAACATGTTGCTGACATGATAATCCAAACTCACAATACATCAAAGAAGAACGTTGTCTTCTGTGGACTTTCACTGATCTACTAAAGGATTCACACTTACCAGCTGTCTGGTATGGGTTTTACTGTTACTGTAGAACAGTCTGGTCCAGGTTTGGAGAGTCTAGTGTTGTAGGTTTGAGCTGGACCAGATCTACGGTGGACCAGATCTACGGTGGACCAGATCTACGGTGGACCAGATCTACGGTGGACCAGATCTACGCTGGACCAGATCTGCGGTGGACCAGATCTACGGTGGACCAGAGCTACGGTGGACCAGAGCTACGGTGGACCAGATCTACAGTGGACCAGAGCTACGGTGGACCAGATCTGCGGTGGACCAGAGCTACGGTGGACCAGATCTACAGTGGACCAGATCTGCGGTGGACCAGATCTACGGTGGACCAGATCTAAGGTGAACCAGAGCTACGGTGAACCAGATCTGCGGTGGACCAGATCTACGGTGGACCAGATCTACGGTGGGCCAGATCTGCGGTGGACCAGATCTACAGTGGACCAGAACTACGGTGGACCAGATCTAAGGTGGACCAGACCTAAGGTGGACCAGATCTACGATGGACCAGATCTAAGGTGAACCAGATCTAAGGTGAACCAGATCTACGGTGGACCAGATCTACGGTGGACCAGATCTAAGGTGAACCAGAGCTACGGTGAACCAGATCTGCGGTGGACCAGATCTACGGTGGACCAGATCTACGGTGGGCCAGATCTGCGGTGGACCAGATCTACGGTGGACCAGAACTACGGTGGACCAGATCTAAGGTGGACCAGATCTAAGGTGGACCAGATCTACGATGGACCAGATCTACGATGGACCAGATCTAAGGTGAACCAGATCTAAGGTGAACCAGATCTAAGGTGAACCAGATCTACGGTGGACCAGATCTATGGTGGACCAGATCTACGGTGGACCAGATCTACAGTGGACCAGAACTACGGTGGACCAGATCTAAGGTGGACCAGATCTAAGGTGGACCAGATCTAAGGTGGACCAGATCTACGATGGACCAGATCTACGATGGACCAGATCTAAGGTGAACCAGATCTAAGGTGAACCAGATCTAAGGTGAACCAGATCTACGGTGGACCAGATCTATGGTGGACCAGATCTACGGTGGACCAGATGAAACTTGTGTAACAGACCAAATAAAGGTTTCATAAAAGTCTTAAGGACTCTGCTGTTAGTTTTAAATAATCTAGTTAAGGTCTGAAGAGTCTAGGTGTAGACTAATGGTTCTCTTTTGTTTTCTGTAATAATTAAATATGTTGTTCTCATTAAAAAACACTACAGGTCAGGCAGAATTGATTTTCTCCGCTCTTCCAAGATGACTGGCTTAAACTTCTTCACCACGCTGCTGAGTCGTGTTGCAGACATGAGCACCAGATGTGCTTTTGCTACAGAGCTCATGTATCTGGAGCTTTTTACGTAGTTTAGAGGGGTGAGTCGTACCGGCGTAATTAGATGCCAAATAGCGTACTTGCCACACAAAACGCGTACGGGTTGGCAGGTCTGATGTATAATTACACTGCATGGCTCTCTTTTGTTGTATTGGCTGGGTAAACAAGTCTTATATAATTCAGATCTCAGTTTCAGCCAAAAATAATGGTGATCATTTTGGCCATAATCAAGCAGCTCTAAACCAACCAAATCTCCATCAACAATGATTCAACCTGAACCCAAAGCTCCTGATTGTGGCAGGATTATCCAGGTTTCTGCACGTTACCTTCTCATCAAGACAGCTCTGGAAGTCCTCCTTCATTCTGCTGACAGCCACTCTGTCTTGTGGCCTTTTGGGTCCACTGATGTAGGGCACCATGGAGCTCAAGTTGATCTCAATCACCTGCACAAACACCAGTGGCTTCAGCTGACCTGAACCGCAGCTCTCTTGATAATTAGGAAGGACTTTCCATCACTTACTAAACAGCTCTGGACAAAGACTAAACTGTTTAGAGTAAAAACATCCTTAAACATCCCACAGAAGATCTTAAAATGATAAAAAAAAAAAAAACTTGGATCACCTCTGAGTACTGAGGGTCTTCTTGGGGTTTTTCGTAGCTTCGGAAAAGATGTACAGCCTTCATGTAAGACTCCACTAGTTCAAGCTTCTCCTGTGAGAAATCTGGATGAAAGAAAAAGGAAGAAGCACCAAAATGAATCCCCGGCCATGGAAACATGAACCTGTCAGTACCGTGGGCTGTTGGAGGGACTCACTCGTCTTTTTAAAGTGCTTGAGTGCCACTGCGTCGACAGGGAAGAAGCTGACAGTAGCGTTGTATTCTGGGCACATGTTGGCGATGGTGGTCCGGTCAGGAACGGATAGCTGGGAGACACCCGGTCCAAAGAACTCCACAAACTTCCCCGAGACACCAGCCTGACGCAGGTGCTAAAGAATCAGGAGTACTTAGACTAGTAATGGGGAGTCACGTTTGCTTCTGTGATGTGTGTGAGAAACAACGTTTTCAGGAGATGTTCACCTTGGTGATGCCCAGGACGATGTCGATGGACGTGCTCAGGGGGTTAATGGAGCCCACCAGTTTACAGCCCACTACCTGAGGAAGGGTCAGAGACACCGGCTGGCCCAGCATAACTGCCTCCGACTCGATTCCTCCGACACCTGGTGGGAGGATCAAGCACAAGCCCAGATGTGTGTAACACTCGGTCAGCCACGGGTTTCATGTTGGGTTGGTTAAATCCTAGTTTATGCTTCTCCGGCAGCTCAGAGAGAGAGACGAACGCATTGACGGAGACGTTTCGCCTTCGGATGTCTCCTTGTCCTGGGAAGTGTTGCAAAGCAATTCCCCGTCAGGACAACAGAGGGCGTAGCGCTGTTCGGGGTATCCTGTCATGTATCGGGTCCAGGATGGTGTGTAGCTCTTGTGTTTTTGCATTTAAGAAACTTTTTAACACGGATTAATTTGTTCCTCATCCTCCCTCCACCTCTTCATGCCCACGTCACCTCTAAACCCACGTTTGCCATCATTTCCATCCACCAATGAGACGCTTGCTGCGTAACTTGTCACTCCTCCAGTCACGGGGGTTTCAGCGAGGTATTCTTCAAGCATCTCCGTGTCTGCCGCTAGAAATCTTTGGCTCTCGTTATGCTTTTGAGGGCGCAATGGCAACGCTGTTGACAACTTTAAAGGAAGTGTCGTCCTGACCAATCACAAGCTTGCTTTGTGCGTCCTGTTTGACGGATGTTTAGAAAGGTGTGCTCGACTGCGTTGCATTTCTCCATTCCGACGCAGAAGCATAAACTAGTTAACAGTCTGAAGATGATTTACCCCAGCCAAGGATGCTCAGGCCATTGACCATGGTGGTGTGAGAGTCGGTTCCCACTACGCTGTCGGGGTAGATCCAACCATCGCTGACCTGCACTACCCTGGATAGATACTCCAGGTTCACCTGGTGGACAGCACCAACATCTGGAGGAACCACGTTGACATTCTTAAAGGCCTTGGAGCACCACTGTTTCATGAAGAGAGTAAAAATGTTAAAACTCAACAGGTTTATTGCTTCTTTTAGAGAAACTTTTTTAAGTTACCTACTTTTCTTACTTAAGACCAGGATGGAGGTTTGATTTTGTATTTTGCCTGTTTATTACTCGGTACTATGGTATGATGGATATCCAAGAATAACCATAGTATTGCTATATTACTGTACTTAAAATCTGCAGCAAACTGAATACCTGTAGGAAGTGTGGTCCATTTCAATGTAAACAAACCCAGAGGCCATGGTGACTCCACAGCTCAATGCTACAGCCTGACAAAATCACTTCAGCTGCTAGACACTCATGCTGCTGCTTTACCCTCACAGCCCATGGATGGAGCAGTTGTAGGACGTTGGAACCCAAATACGTTCTGTTAACGGCTATAGAGATGGTGGTACATGAGCAAATGAGCCAAACCATGGCTTAGACACAACATCTGGCTTCTTCTCTGAATCAGTCATGGACCTAAAAAGCTAATCAGCTGGTGGGCAAACAGAAATAACTTCAGGTGAGACACGCCAATTCTGTGTCTCTAGATCAGGGATTCCCTAAGTGTGGTGCGCGCGAGCTGCTGCTAGGGGGTGCGTGGGGTGTAGCCAGAAACTCATTTGTGGGTGGGCCTAAGAAAAAGTAAGTGGGCACAATAAATGTAATTGAAAACAAGTATATAGTGTGTGTGTGTGTGTGTGTGTGTGTGTGTGTGTGTGTGTGTGTGTGTGTGTGTGTGTGTGTGTGTGTGTGTGTGTGTGTGTGTGTGTGTGTGTGTGTGTGTGTGTGTGTGTGTGTGTGTCCTCCGCATGTGCCCTAGCTTCATAATAATAATGCGCTCCGAGCTTCAGCACTCTGACCTGCGCACGCTGTTAATGTTAAGATATGTTCCGTATTTGATCATTTTTAACGGTGTATATATATATATATATATATATATATATAGCCATGCCCTGATGTGGGGCTGGGGGGTGCGTCGACATGGTCGGGACATAGAAGGGGGTGCGCGGCTAAATAAGTTTGGGAACCACTGCTCTAGATCATGCCAAACATCAAAAGCCTTTCTAGGCAGATGGTAATGCAGAGCAAGGACTATCAGTTTTAAAAGATATTATCATTCAAATAAGGTATTAAGCATGAAGGTCGAGTAACTCCTAAATCAACTTACCAGGGCCCCTTCAAGTTTCAGCAAGTTAAATTCAAGACTTTTTAACCCTCTCAGGCTCAAAATAAGTTTTGATAAAAGGACAAACAACTAAGTCCTTCAGGGGTACTTCTGAGTTTAAAATGCTCATGAAATACGTGTGTGTAGTAACCAGGTAGGTAGGTTTTAACATTGCACATCTGCCTCCAGAGGGTTAAGACTTTTTCAAGACCACTTATATAAAATATTAATACCCATTTCACAGCCCTACCGGCAAAACAAATCCTAGAACTTGTGTTCATTTATTCATCTCTTTTTTTTTATTATATTTTGCTAAAACACTCGGTAGAGTAGCAGAGCAGCCTGAGCTTTCACAAAAAGGGTAGCTGGGGTAGCTAGGCCCTTTCTACTGGTCTGCTGAGATGTTCTACGTTTGCCCTCTGCTGGAGGTCTGTGTGGTCTGTTGTTAATAATGCCTTGACTGCTACACAGCAATGAATGAATCAACATAATCGTTTATTCTAGAAATGCTTTGAATCTGATCTTAAATACACCAAATGAGTCTACTTGTTCAGTTTAATAATTATTTATTATCAGTATATATTCACATATTAATATTACTATATTAATAAACTGTTTAACACATTTGCTTTATAATAAATGAAAATAGACCTGCTCCAAGTGTTTGAGGAAGGAGTGATGTTTGAGGACTCTTGGTAACCGCACATTTACACTTGTTAGATTCGGATTTGTCTAAATTTGTATACAAAAAACATTACACAAGAGGTAACACTTCCTCTAAAAGTCAGTTCTAGCAAGCTGTAGCAGTTCGGCCAAACTGGGTCAGTAGCAGATGAACCATCCTTTTCAAGGTCAGACTTTCTTTGCAAAACTGCAAAACTTTATCAGAGAAACAACTCTTCAGATGTGAAACGTCTCGCCAGCAGACCCTGAGGTTATCTCTGACCAGCTGATGCAGATTCAGAGGAGCGCAGACTTCGACATCCAGAAGTCAAACTACTCGCTTGCCAAGGAGACTTTGTGGCCAGCAGGATCGCTGAGATGCCTCATCACACAGGTATCGTACTTGCACCTGGTGTCAGATGTTTTTAGTAATTTGATAACTTGTTAAACCTCAGTAAACATTCAGCCAGACTTATTTTACAACCCAGACATCACTATTTTCTAAGACACTTAATTAGGTTTTTTAAACATAACATCTAAGGTCATGTTTTATCATTGCTCATTCAGTGTCAGTTGATATTACCTTAAGTCAGCATGTACAATCATTTGTTCTGCATCACCCTAGTATTAAATATATTTTTATAAACTATATTTTTGTCTCTGTGTCAAATTATTATAAAGTTGTTTCCCTGGATTAACCAAAGTACCGAGTTTCATCATCAATTGAATATCAAAGGCTCAATAAAATTGATAATACACATTTTTATGGAATTTACATTTTATTGAATACCTTTATATTCTACTGGCAATTTATTAAAAGTAACCACCTACAAATTGTTACATAATGGCGAGCCAGCCAAGACGTACATCACAATCAACACTTTTTTAATCATTTGAGATTTTAAGATCTGTTTGCTGTGTTGGACATAAGAGCCTCTCTTCACTTATGTTCACGAGCGCTTTCTCATCAAACTCAAACCAGTTTCAAGCTGTTAAAGCAATAATATTGTCTTGTCCCTAAAAAGGAGTGAATGCTTGTGTTTAACTTGGCTCAAGGACGCTTGAATGCTAAAGTTAACCAAAGCTACCTTAATTGGATCTGATCAATCTGCGTTTTAATTACGGCCGGAACATTCCATTTTCACGCTTTGAAATTCCAGCTCAGCCGTGTCTGAAGCTGTTGTTCCATCTCATTAGACCTAAAACAGAGCACGCGTTTCGCCACACTCTTTTCCCGTAGTTAAGCTAACGACTAATTTCTAGCTTTTAAAATACGTAAGACTGCTACAACGCAACCCTTAGATGGACATAGTTTGTGAGCAAGCATTTTACTGGCATAAAGACGAAGCCACGGTACCAATAAAGGGTATTTCGTCAGCCAAAAGGCTTATTAGCCATACTAGCTAACGTTAGCACAGCTAACGTTTTTCATTTTCTTTTCCTGCTTCAGCTGCAAATATGTCTCCAGCTGACGCTGTCAGTGTGGATTTTCTGACTACTATGACTCTAGGTCAGTATGCCAACTCAGCCATCCATGCCTTGTCTGAACTATGCTCTTTATCCGACTACATCACGACTGTGACGCGGTCCACAACTCCCGACCAAGAGTCGACGCTGCGGTCCCTGACCGGAAAAGTTCTCTCTGAACTAAATCAGATTAGATCCCAAACTCGGCTCAATGATTTAAGTTGGTTTGCTATTGTTTTATCTCACCTCTGGCAAAATGAAGTCAAGAAACAAGTGGGCCCAGCAGCATCTTGAACAACTGAGTAAAGCAAAGACTGAGGCAGATGAACGTATATTAACTCTCAAGGAGGAAAAGGACGTGGCAGGGAGGAGGATCACTAACAGATGAGGTAAAACTGACCAGGTCCAGGGTATGGAGAAAATAAAAAAATCAGGGGAAAGAAATTCTTGTGTTAACACAAAAGCTGCAGGCTGCTGATAAGAGGGCTTCCTCTCTGCCAGTGCCTCAGCATGTCGAAGATAGACCCAATTAGGTGGGGAGGGCGTGTCTCCGCCCCTCCAGCTGTGTCATCTGTTTGCACAGGTGCTGTCACTTCTCACACCAGCTTTATGTTTCCACCCCCACTGCCACCCAAGCACTTATTGGAGAGTACCCAGGCAGCAACAGTCCACCACCAACCACGAGGCAGAGAGCCCCAACGGAGGAAACACTTGAAGAAGGATTATTACAAGATGAAATAACATAATAGTAAAAGTAAGTAAATAAATAATAGAGAATTTAAATACTGAAATAATATAGATGTAAAATAAAACTGTGATAAAATGTAATCAATGTAATTATGCAAAGCAAGTAATCTACTATAATAAATAAAAATCATTTAAAAGCTAAGCTAAGAAGGTGGGTCTTGAGCCTGCACTTAAAAACACGAACGCTCTCTACGGCCCTGAGGTCCTCCAGCAGCCTGTTCCAGAGGCGAGTGCTGTAATACTGAAAAGACGCGTTGCCGTGAATGTGAGTCCTGACTTTAGGGATAACCAGACCAGAGGAGTGCAGAGGCTGCGAGGGTTCATATGGTAAAAGCAGTTCTGAGAGATAAGAGGGCCAAGACCATTAAGACACTGCTCAGGAGAGCTGAGATGTCTTCAGCTTGGTGCAGCAAAGGCAGAGCAAGAGACACTTGTAGTGTGTGCATACTGGGCATTCAACATGCTGGGAAGGACAGCTCCATGATCCGCTTGCCTTCATACTACTTCCACATTCGTCTTTCCCTTCAGGCATCTACAAAGCAAATCTTTAATTCCCAGTTTGTCACTAACATTCCGTTCACAGCGAAGTCAGACAAAAACACAAGGCCAGCCGACAGAGGGAGACACACTAATGAACAAAAATGAATTCTAAATTGATTTTAGTGAATGGCTGCAATATAACAAAGAGTGAAAAATTGACAGGGGTCTGATTATTTTCCGTATCCACTAGGCCGAGCTACTGCTAACAGAAGCGTCCTCCCCTTCTGGTCGCCTCATGGGCTCCTGAACAAAAGAAAAAAATCAGTGTACCCTGCGTGGCTGAAAGACTTATTTTATGGTCCGCTTTGCCTTTTGCCCTGAATCACTTACACTGCCGGATCAAAAGTCAACACCAAACAAAAAGGTTAGCTTTGGTTACGACACACATTGTAAGAGATGCAGGCCTTGTTTCTATAAGCTTCTGCAACATCCCCAGGTTTATCTCCATCCAGTGTTGCAATAATGTCTCACTAAGATCTTGCATTGATGATGGTGGTCTGACCGCTGCACAGAGCCTTCTCTACACATCCCAAAGATGGGGTTAAGGTTTGGACTCTGTGGTAGCCCACCCATGTGTGAAAATCATGTCTCATGCTCCCTGAACCACTCTCTCACTATCTGAGCCTGATAAATCCTGGAATGTGGCCGTGCCATTAGAGAAGATGGAATAACCTGGTCATTTAGGATATTCAGGCAGTCCTGGCCAAGTGGGCGGGGAAAACCAGTCTTCTCTTTGTACAACATTACTATTGGGTTGTTTCTGGCTATTTTACAGGGCTTCTGGGCCATTTTGAGTCAAAACAACATTTCATTATTTATGTAAAGGCTAAAAGGCCATTTTCCAAGAGCAAAAAACATTCCTCTATTACCCCTTTAAAGAACGTACAGAACTGAAACATTAAAAACAAAATGGAACTCATTCTGATACCTTATAGAACTGAAGTCTCTCTTTGTTTCTGAACAATTCCATTTCTTGATTCTTCAAAGCTGTTTCAGTTCTGAAAAAAAAAAGAAGTAGTGGGAAGCTCCAGAAGAACAGAAAGCTGCAGTTTAATTCTAAAACAAAAAGACAAGCTGAAAAACTCTGCAAACATAATTTATGTTGATGAAGACCGGAAATGAGATTAAAGCTGGGTGTTTGTGAAACCATTACCACTACCACTATCATCAATACCACCATCATCACCATCACCACCATCATCATCATCACCATCACCACCATCATCACCATCACCACCACCATCTCCACCACCACCATCATCATCACCACCATCTCCATCACCATCATCATCACCACCACCATCATCATCACCACCATCTCCATCATCACCACCATCTCCATCATCACCATCACCACCATCATCATCATCACCACCACCACTATCATTATCATCACCACCATCATCACCACTATCATTATCATCATCATCATCACCACCATCACTATCATTATCATCACCACCATCATCACCACTATCATTATCATCATCATCATCATCATCATCATCATCACCACCATCACTATCATTATCATCACCACCATCATCACCACTATCATTATCATCATCATCATCATCACCACTATCATCATCATCATCATCACCACCATCACTATCATTATCATCACCACCATCATCACCACTATCATTATCATCATCATCATCATCACCACTATCATTATCATCACCACCATCATCACCACTATCATTATCATCACCACCATCATCACCACTATCATTATCATCATCATCATCATCACCCTCTCCACCAGCATCACCACCAACATCATCACCATCATCATCGCCATCATCATCATCACCACCATCTACACCATCACCACCACCATCATCATCATCACCACCACCAACATCACCATCATCATCATCACCACCACAATCACCCCCACCATCATCACCACCACTATCATCATCATCATCATCATCATCATCACCATCACCACCATCATCACCATCACCACCACCATCTCCACCACCACCACCATCTCCACCACCACCATCATCATCACCACCATCTCCATCATCACCACCATCATCATCATCACCACCACCAACATCATCATCATCATCATCACCACCACAATCACCCCCACCATCATCACCACCACTATCATCATCATCATCATCATCATCATCATCATCATCACCATCACCACCATCATCACCATCACCACCACCATCTCCACCACCACCACCATCTCCACCACCACCATCATCATCACCACCATCTCCATCATCACCACCACCACTATCATTAACATCACCTCCATCACCACCACTATCATTATCATCACCACTATCATTATCATCATCATCATCATCATCATCATCACCACCGCCATCACCATCACCACCATCATCACCATCATCATCATCACCATCTCCACCAGCACCACCACCAACATCATCACCATCATCATCATCATAATCATCACCACCATCATCACCATCATCATCATCATCACCACCACAATCACCCCCACCATCATCATCATCATCATCATCACCATCACCACCACCATCTCCACCACCACCACCATCTCCACCACCACCACCATCATCATCATCATCATCATCACCATCACCACCACCATCTCCACCACCACCACCATCTCCACCACCACCATCATCATCACCACCATCTCCATCATCACCACCATCTCCATCACCACCATCATCATCATCATCACCACCACCACTATCATTATCATCACCACTATCATTATCATCATCATCATCATCACCACCATCATCACCACTATCATTATCATCATCATCATCATCATCATCATCACCACCACCACCATCACCAGCATCACCACCAACATCGTCACCATCATCATCGCCAACATCATCATCATCATCATCATAATCATCACCACCATCTACACCATCACCACCACCAACATCACCATCATCATCATCACCACCACAATCACCCCCACCATCATCACCACCACCACCACCATCACCATCTCCACCATCATCACCACCATCACCATCTCCACCAACAGCATCATCATCCATCATCATCCATCATCACTACCATCATCACCATCTCCACCATCATCACCACCATCACCATCTCCACCAACAGCATCATCATCCATCATCATCCATCATCACTACCATCACCATCTCCACCATCATCACCACCATCACCATCTCCACCAACAGCATCATCATCCATCATCATCACCACCATCACCATCTCCACCAACAGCATCATCATCCATCATCATCCATCATCACTACCATCATCATCACCATCATCATCATCATCATCACCACCACCATCATCATCATCATAATCATCATCACCACCGCCACCACTATCATTATCACCACCAACATCATCACCACCTTCATCATCATTACCACCACCACCATCATCATCACCACCTTCTTCATCATCATTACCACCATCATCACCACCACCATCTTCATCATCATCCTTCATCACCACCATCTTCATCACCACCACCACCACCATCATCATCATCACCACCATCATCACCACCACTATCATCATCATCATCCTTCATCCCCATTATCACCATCACTATCATCATCATCATCCTTCATCACCATTATCACCATCACTATCATCACCAACATCATCATCATCACCACCTTCTTTATCATCATTACCACCAACATCATCATCACCACTATCATTATCATCATCACCATCATCATCCTTCATCACCATCATCATCATTAATCACCATCCTTCATCACCATTATCACCACCACTATCATCATCATCATCCTTCATCACCATTATCACCATCACTATCATCACCAACATCATCATCATCACCACCTTCTTTATCATCATTACCACCAACATCATCATCACCACCTTCTTTATCATCATTACCACCAACATCATCATCACCACTATCATCGTCATCATCACCATTACCACCACCACCATCACCACCACCACCACCATCATTATCATCATCATCACCATCACTCACTCAGAGATGGGTTGGAGGTGGAAAGGACAGAGGAGAGGAGTATTTTCTATCTGCTGGACAGAGGCTGGAGATGGACCCAAAGATGTGGGCGAGTCACTGCAGGCAGCTTTACTACAAGAGCCTCTCCGGTCTCCACACTGGAAGTCCCCTCTGATGAAAGGCCTGGAGGCAGTGGAGCGAGAGGAGGCCTGGTTCTGGGTGGGACCGTCCCCTCCGCCAGGATTGGGAGTGTTCTGTATGGCACTGGAGATAAAACTTACATTAAAGAATAAACTTCTATTACCCCATTTACTCAAAGTTCTTGAAACCGACCATCTAAGACACAGACCATTTACTAAAATCAATCTGGAAAGAGTGGTCTACTATCAGGTCCGTGGGACACTTAGGGTTGATTAGAGCGGGGTCCACACCGTGTTTGGCTACAGCGTCCCTCATGGCGGCCAGGTCCACCATAGCAGGAATCCCTCTGTCAGAAGAAAACATCAAAACAGAAAATCAGCCTTCTTCATGGAGTTAGGTAAACCAGGGAAACCCACTCACTTGGTTATGAGCTTCATAATTCTTTAATTTAAGGTTTTGACCTAAAATCAAACAAACTCACGTGAAATCCTGCAGAATGACTCGTGCAGGTGAGAATGGCACCTCAGCTTTATCCTGTTGCTCCTGCCAGGCAAGGATCTTCTGCACATCTTCCATTTTTGTGTAAAAACCATCACAGTTACGAATGGCTGCCTCCAGTAGGACGCGGATAGAAAAAGGAAGTTTGTCTAAGGGACAAGATCAAAGGTATGTGTTGAGCTGCTCACTGTCCATGTCACCACCCTGCTCACATCTGCATGTTTTCACATGAAATCAGTGCAAGTTGCATCATTCATAAACATACAACAACGCTGACTCCTCATCAAACAGGCACATCTCCAGTGGGAGGGCCAAAACTCACCATATCTTGGATCGTTTAATTTTTGTGGATTGAAGAACTTGATCCTGCCATCTTTAAGGGTGTCGATTAGATGGTGGAATGGGTGCTCTGCAGAGAAGATATAAACAGTTCTAGAGCCAGAACCCTTCAAGTCCTCGGTGCGGCTGCTAGAGGACTTCCAGCTTCATTTTATGAAACCAAAGAAGGATGCCACCTCCCTTCTTATGTCTTTAAGCCAGATTAGTAAACAAAAACAGACAGAAGGCCACACCTACTCTCTATAGCGCTGCTCGTCTCTAAAGCCCGCCTCTCGCCCCCTGCCCCTGAGATCACACCAATCAGATACCAGCATTTATTCACCTAGAAGAACTGTCGAAGTTCAAACAGACTTGTTTCAGCGTAGCTCACAGACATGAAAACAGGTGAAGGGGGTAAAAGGTGTTTAGCCTGGTCCTCAGCTGTGAGGGCGGGGACATAGAGAGGACATCAGGTGATGGGTTGTTGGTTAGGGTTAGGGTTTTAGTGAGCAGATGTCATTTCACACACCATTGCTTTTTAAAATGTTATTTAATTATATTTAAAAGTAAACTTGAGCATTAAAAACTAAATAAATCATTGATGAAAGATAAATAAATAACATAATTAGCCTAGTTTGTCTCATTTCAGAAACGTGACAAAGCACGAAGCAGGCTCTGCTGCTGAAAACACTGAAACCATAAAGAATCCTAAATTGGTTGGATGCTTAAATGATATTCGCTGATAATAATAATAATAATAATCATCCATCCATCCGTTTTCAGATGCTCATCCAGAGTCGAGTCGGGGGGGGGGGGGGGGGGGGGGGGGAGCCTAAGCCCCTCCCACATTAGTGTATACAGAAAAAGAATAATAAAATAAAGAGACCATTTCTCCGTCGAAGAAAGTGGGTTATGTATTGTAACCCCAGATTCTATGAGTATAGCTCCGCCCTTTAAGCCATCACTTATTCGATTAAAGGCGGAGCCCGATGTAGTCAACGCCACACTGGTTAAGAACCAAACCTGAGCGGACTCTGAGGCTTCTGCCCAAACAAGTCTCCACAGCTGCCAGCAGGCGCAAATATGTGCGAGCAGCTGGAGAACACGATGATGTAGCATACAGCTGATGAGAATCAACCCTAAAGGTTGCCTAGCAACAGGCAGGAATGTGGAGGTTGTCATCATCAAGAACAACACCATGTGAAACATGGTCAGAACATGGAAGTGCGGGTGCATATGAACATAAGGGTAAGAAACGAAATGGCAGTTTCTGTATCCAAACCTCAGCAACAGTTGTGAACAGGCAGAACTGTGAGCCAGCACCACATTAGCAGCTAGGCTGGTGGACACACCTCTGAGGTAAAACCTCACAAAGGAAGATGGTGATGACCATAAAGCAAGCCATGCATATGTCTGCTATAGACATGTTTGTGTATGTAGCAGACGGTTTTGGCCAAAGCGACTTACAGGTGATAATGAAGCAGCAGCTTCATTATCACCTGAGGCTAACAACAACAACACTATTCAGTCAATCCTAGGTAGCAGTGAGGCAGCATAACCAATCCTAGAGGGAAGTGAACACAGAGTGGGAAGTAGAGTGGGGGAGGGGTAGACAAGACAAAGTATGAATGAGATGATGGTTGTACAGGATGACAGATGATGAATGTGGTGGAAAGTAAGCAAGATGCTTGTAGCAAAACCTTGCTACAGAAGAAGAAATCGCCCATGTGGAATGTGCCTTTAAACTGTCGGAAGCATCCAGACCAGAGGACGCATAGGCGATCGTGATGATGTCACACTGTCATTATGTAAGACGCTGAGATGACAGAGGCTGCCACAGAGAAACAATCTATCTGTGTGAGCAAATGCAGCAGGTGTGACGCAGCATCTTTCTCTGACTCATGAGGAGGAGGAAAAAAACCCCGCCAGAGAAATGGGTCTGGACCTGAAAGAGCTGATGATGCTATTGGGGATGAACGCAAGGTTGGGGCACAGAACAGCTGAACCCTCATCATCCCTGATCCTGAGGCAAGAGGGCGAGACAGAAAGAGCAGTCAGGTCACTCACTCTCTTGAATGACATCAGAGCCAGCAAAATTGCAACCTTAAGGGACAAAAAAATTCTGTGGAACTTGGCCCAAAGGCTGAAAGGGAGCCTGAGAATACCCAAGCAGAACCACAGCCAAAACCCATTGTGGAGTCAGAGATGCAGGAGCAGGTCTGAGCCTTTGAACGCCCTTTAAGAAGTGTTTGGTGAGGGGATGGCTACAGACAGATCTATCCCCATATCCCTGATGACAGGAGGAAACAGCCACATGTGCGGAACGCCTGCTCTGGACCACATCGAGTGACAGACTGAGACACACTAAACGTGGCCGTTCGGTGGTCAGACCCACAAATGCTGATCCAAGATCGGTGGGTGTCTGATGGTTCCACCTGCCTGCAGGAGTGCATCCTACCTCCAACGCAGGCACCACAGGCGTGCTTTCACCAGCAGCTGCAGTGAGGAGCCACCAGAATAAACAATAGTTGTTCCTGCCTGACTCGTACCAGGAGGCGTTGAATCAGCAGAACCGGGAGGATGCGTAAAGAAGGAGCCTGGGCCATGGTTTCTGGGCGAAAGCATCCTCACCGAGCAGGGCGAATTCCAGCAAGCTAAGAGAGAACCACGGCCTGCAGTGTGTGTTCTCACGAGACTAACAGATCCACAGCCACCTCCCCGAACCTGTCCCAAACCTGAAATATGAGATCAGGGTGGACATGCCACTCCGAGTTAGGTGGGCCACCTCTGAACATAATGTCCGTTCCGACATTCAGAATGCCCAGAATATAAACGGTTTCATCGACAGGTGCGTCTGAGCCCAGCACAGAAGCATTCTGGCCAACCTCAGAAGCGCAGTCAAGCGAACCCCGCCTGGCGGTTTATATACACAACTGCGGCCTGGTTGCTCGTGAACAACAGCATGGCAGTTTTGGAGCAGAGGTGCAAAGTGAAGAATCGTTTTGTGGACCATCGGAGGTTCAAACACATTTATGTGCCCATAAGTGCGTGGAGGCCAACTGTCGCCCACTGAATGGGACAAAAATGCACCCCTCCATCCTGACAGAGATGCATCTGTAATACTGAGACATGGAAGGTCAAGCAGCCGAGCGGGACTTCGCATCTCAGGGTCTTGGGATTCCCCCACTGAGGGAGGGATGACCAACATGCAGCGCTTGTGGTGGATCGGGTGAACCTTGAGATGTCTGAACCATTTATGCATGCATCTCATGTGAAGCAGACCCAGAGGAACCACCACGTGACCCATTGCCATCTTGCCCAACGGTCTCATAATTGTCAGGGCTGACAGTGTGACAAAGGCGCATGCACCCGAGCATCGAAGTCAACTCCACCATTCTCGGCTGAGACAAGCGAGCTTTCATTATCCCGGAGTTCAGTTCCACTTCCAAGAATGTGACCACCTGAGAAGGGATCACGGAGCCTTTCTCCCAATTAATGGAAAACTCCAACCCGATCAGGTGTTCCACCAGGGTCTGTGAGTCCAATTCAGGCTTGGAGCAGGTCAGAAGCAAGAGATTGTCTAAGCAAAAGAGGATCCTCATGCCCTCTGAGGGTGAGGGTTGAAGCGCCACCTCCAGGCATTTGGTGAAAATGCAAGGGGCGAGAGAGTAACTGAACGGGAGTCTGTTATACTGGTAATGGACTCCGTCTAAGGAGAAATGCAGGGATTTCCTGTGTTTTGGGATTACTGAAATGTGAAAATAAGCATCCCTCAAGTCGATGGAGGTGAACCAATAACGTGGGCACATATTGCTCTGAGCCTGTTTGACAGACAGCCTGCGGAAGTGTTTTACGGCCACGAAGCAGTTGAACAAAGACCGATCAAGAATGGGCCTGACACCTCCCGTCTTCTTCGGGACCAGGAAGTAGCAGGAGTAGAACCCTAAACTTTCTTTGCCTTTCGGAACCCTGGGAAGCTTTCTTTACCAGGAGTTCCAGCAGTTCTGACCTGAGAACGAGACTGATCCGATGACGTCTGTTTGGTCTCCACAATCCCAGCGAATGGGGGAGGATAAGACCGAAACTGGAGCTTGTGACCATGACGCATGATGTTGTGCATCCATGCACGCATGTGGCAAGTACGTGCCAATTCCTGCACATGTTGAGAGAGGATGCGCATGCAGAGCCTGGGCCTGACGCGCACTTGAGCCATTGTCGAGCCCCTACCACCGTCGCTACATCTGCCTGAAGTGCGGGAGCAACCCATGGGGGTTGTTTAACTCACTGCCAGCCGTTTCCTGATCAGAAAGCGTTTTTCATTGATTTTTTAAGAGTCACAGAACGTTGCGCGCTAGGATGATGTCAACGCAAAAACAACCAAAACAAAGAGCAGACTCACCTCTTACATCAGGAAGGATCCGCGCGTTTGGAGCGTTATCCGTTCTGACCGGTGGCGCTAGTGCTCGGCAGCCTCGCCTCTGTCAGTACGCCCCAGAGCAGCTTTGGCTACATCGTAGCTCGTCCCCACCAGTGTGTGAATGTGTGTGTGAATGGGTTGTGTTGTAAAGCGCCTTGGGGGGTTCCAGGACTCTAGAAGGCGCTATATCAAATACAGGCCATTTACCATTCATAATTTGTTGTTGAATTGTGATCAGCAGAAGCTTTTCTGGTTCGCACCTCATTTTTTTACAGCAGTGGCCCAAAATGATCTCCTAACACATGGATTTACTGCTTCCTGATCATGTGACGTGTGACGAATGCAGATGAAGATCAGCTTTAGAGCTGGGATGTTTCTTCTAATGGTGCGGGGGCTCGTTCCGACGCCCACACAGTAAAAAAATGCAAATGACAACTTTAGTCAGCTCCATGAGGGAGAGACATGCACAGACGGAGATGTTTTGCTCTCCGACTCCTGGGAGTGTTGCAAAGCAATTCCCTGCCAGGACAACAGATGGCGTAGCGCTGCTCTGTGGTATCCTGTCATGTTTCCGGTCCACGATATTGCATTCACTATTGTGCTCATTAGAGCTGCCACGATTAGTCGACTCGTCATAACGATGTCGACTAATAAAATACCGGACAATTAATTTAATAGTCAAAGCGCCGTTTATTTCATAAATATGTTTTTAACCTCACCTGCTGCGGCACGTTCAGCGGTTGCTTCCTGCCTTTTGCTCAGCTGCTGCTTTAGCTCTGAGGCGCATGCACAGTAGTGGCCATCCAGCTCAGCCTTCATCACCGAAGAAAGTAAACGTGGCGAGTCGACAACGTAGCTGAAAGTTTTGTGACCATTATACAAAGATAAAAGAAAGACCCGTAGGGTGCAAACTCTGCAAAGTGAAACTCTCCCTTCACAGGTGCACATTGACGATGCACGAGTATCTTAGGAGGAAGAACGACATAACGGAGAACAAAGAGTCGCCTCTGTAAGTTTAGCTCTTGTTAGCTGCTAACATCAACAGAGTTACTTGTATTTATAGCTGTAGCAACACCAGTAGTGGTGGTGACTTTATTACCTTTAGAACACGTTTGTATGTCACGTATTTTTGCTCTAACGATTAATTTCATCCCGCTACATTACAGCAGTAATAACAGTGCTCCTTGTCAGTGGACCAGTTTGTTACGTGCACACCTCAGCAAGCAAACGTCCTGACCGAGGCCATTGTGAGCACGTTGGTTAGCAGACTCTTGTCCATGGTCGGTATCAAGGTTTCAGAGAGATGATCAAGCAGCTCAACCAGGGTTACCACAACAACCACAGACATATATATGACAACAACCTTCTACCAGGCTGATCCCACTTCACCACCTTGGCGGAAAAGAAGAATTACACAACTTTTAAAGTGTGCGTGTGTGTGTGTGTGTGTGTGTGTGTGTGGTGTGTGTGTGTGTGTGTGTGTGTGTGTGTGTGTGTGTGTGTGTGTGTGCTTCTCTCTCTGGAGACAAATAAAATAAACATTAGAATAAATTGCACGATAAAATAAAAAGTTGCTGACTGAACAACAAGAAACTAATATTTTTAATGCATTAAACATTTGATTTGTTAAATCTTAACCTACATTATGTGATATAACAGAATTATTAATCTGGTAAATAAACTAACTTTAACATCTTTTATCTTTACGGTAAAGAAGACCCTCAGAGCTGTCGATGGTCCCTGACTGCTGACGTCTGGACCAGCCGTGCTACAGAGGCGTACCCTGGTCCTGCTATCTCTTGAGTTAAGATTGGAAGATGAAGCGCTTCAACCTTGACACCAAGACTCTGGTGAACACAAGTCATTTTGGTTTTAGGTGCCTACTTCCACCTGACTGTAAAATTTGTATTAACAAGTTACAAAGTTGCTGGTAAGCTATCATCTTGTCTTTATTATTAGATGGCACATAGCTGATCACAGCTAATGATGGTATATTAGAGCATCCAGGTGCAATAAGCTAAACCTTTATTAATGACACGATTAGTCGGCTACTAATATAGTTGGTTGTGGCAGCTCTAGTGTTTATATATTTCAGAGACTTTTTGACGTGGACAAATTTGTCTCTCAGACTCCTCCACCTCTTTGTGCACTCTCCACCCGTCATTTCCGTTCACCAATAAAACGCTTGCTTTTCACTTTTACTCCCCCAGTCATGGGGGAGTAAAACGTTCATATTTTTAGAGTTTTCCGTGAGGTATTCTTCAAGCTGCTCTGCATCTGCCGCTAGATGTCCTCAGCTCTCTTTATGTTTTTGAGGGCGCAATGGCGGCGTTGTAGGTGACAGCGGCGTCCTGACCAATCACAAGCTTGCGTTCTCCGTCTCGTCGGGACAGATGTTTAGAAAAGAGAGCCCTCAAAAGGGTGGATAATGATGTTGCGTGCGTCCATCCCAATGCAGGCGGAGACGTATAAATTAGGTTTACGCAGCATCTAGCTGTGCGTGTTCAGGACAACCATAGTCTGGCAGTCAGACATACCTAGTAGCTTCAAAGCTTTGCTGGCAAAGAACCACTTTCCGTAGTGAAGGAACATCGGTGACATGATGCTCTACAGCTGGATGGAATTGACAGATGAGAAGACCAAGTTAAAGATGGAACCAACTGCACCGACAACAGAAAAGAGCTCGGGTAAGAAACGTTTCTCCCGACAGTCGGCACCAAGAAGCTCCCAATTGGTAACAGTGAATTTCTGTAGCTGGAGTAGCGTGAGTGAGGTCTGCTTCAGAGTGTCACATCGTAGTACAAGTCCAGTTGGTACAAGTGTCAGAAAGAGGCCCAAAGGAACTCCTAAGTTTCTGAGCACAGGCCATCTCAGGGTCGAATTAGCTAAACACCTTCTGGGTAACCAGACAGTGGTCGGTATTAAACTCTGGCTACAGATCCCAACATCTGGGACATGATGTGTTGCAGAATACGGACAAAGGACAGGCCTTCGTAGGAAGTGAGAGTAAAGAAGAAACATTTGAAAACTGATTGTGTCGCAAAACAAGACGGCTGCATGGTGGCGCAGTTGTTAGCACTGTTGCGTCGCAGCAAGAAGGTTGCAGGTTCGAAACTCGGCTGCGATCGTTCTGCGTGGAGTTGCATGTTCTCCCCGTGCAAGCATGGGTTTCCCCCACAGATCATAAAGTGCCCTGTAGGTTCACAATAATAAAAGCATCTGCCAAATAAACATATCGGGTTTTCTATTAGCCAACAAGCTCGCAGACATATGACTTTACCATGGTACTCAGGCATCCTGTCACACTGACTAGTGGCCTTGCAGCAATGCCCACACATCTGTGAAAAGCTGCCTGCCATAGGCTCTGCAAGGCAGCCAGGACGGAACATAGACTAAACTGAGATGTCTCAATAACAATCAACGATGGTGCAGGTCAGGGCCTGCTGACACGTTCATCTCAGGCTGACTGTCAGTTGAACTTCATCAGATTTTATAAATGTTAAAATAGTAAGTAAACTGCATTGATATAGCAGTCATCACCGAAAGAGAATCACAAAGGGATCAAAAACAAATGACAATGATAGTCATGAAATGATTAATTGATCATAAATAGCATACAACAGATGAAAGGTGATTGGTTTTCTTATTTTTAACAGGAATTCACAAAGTAAAACGCAGCTGTAAATAAAAGTGGTTTGTTTTTGTTTTTCGGGGTCAGCTGCTTTCTGAAGGTTACGACTGTCAACACTATGTAAGGATAAAGGAGCGATCACTTTTCTACCTGGGCTTCGGACCTTCTAGAAGGTTCTGGTTTGTGGACCTGAGGTCTCGGGATAGAGCATTGACAGTTCAGTGATGTAGGGAGGAGCTTGACCACGTCGAGCCCTGAGAGTTCTACTCAGGTGTTCACAGGTAACCAGAGCTGACTCGTTGGTATGGGGGTGGTGTGAGCTCTCGTTGGCTCCAGCTAGGAGCCTCTAATATGTTATAACAATGTGTTATATAAGAGTTATTTCTCTGTTTCACGATGACAAGGTGAACCGGACAGGAGCAAAGCTAGCTAGACTGAGGCAGCTAACCTAGCCTCTTATCGACAAACACACGGGCGTAGGGGACTAATCGAGATACCAGCTGGACGTCCTCCGGTGATAACAGGCTAGTTAAAGCAACACGTAAACGTGAGCGGAGTATATTACAGCTGTGGCATTAAGTACCGGTAAAACACAACAGTACAGGTGTGTTTAAGATCGTGTAGGCATTACCGAGATAGCTGTTAGCTTCTATGTCTGACATACTGGGGCCGGGACATTTCATGACCCTCACTTTGTGCAAACAACGGTTCTGTTCTGAGCTGTTCCAGTTTTCAATAATGTCTCGACGAGGTAACGAGATGTACACGCAGCAGTCAGTGGACGTTTCCTTAAAATAAAGCCGTTTACCTTTGACTTGGGTAGTCAGCGCCATGATGACTTCTGAAATCAACGCCGAGCTGTTCTGTTCTCCGCACGGTAGACCACAACCAACCAATCAGAATACACAAGCGAACCATTCTAACCAATCAGAATACTGAGACTGCCCAGAGCTGACCAATCAGCACGCATATCGTCACTGGCACGCCCACCCAAAAGACCTGACAAAATCAATGTTTTAATTGCATTTTAAAAACAAGATAAGCAAGTACAGTTAAAAAAATGAACGAGAACAATAAAAATATGATTTTTGTTCCTACTACAATTTTTACATTAAAGGTGCTGTAACGAGTCTCCAAACAAGCAGGTGTAACAGAGATGAAAATGTAGCCTAGTGAACTAGACCAAATTCTTGCTTTGCAAAGTTTGGTCTAGGCATGCTCCATTGGAACCTCAGCAGCTCCTACCAGGACTCTGGCTAGCCAATCACAGCCCTCTATAGGGGTTTCAAACACATAAAGAGCTGTGATTGGTCCATAATGGTGGGCCAATCATAGTGCTCTATCTGCTTAGTGAACAAATCACAGAGCTTTATCCGCTTTGTGGGCCAATCAGGGCACTCTATATGCCGCTTTGTGGGCCAATCAGGGCACTCTATATGCCTGGTGGGTGGGATGATGCAACAGAGTGAAACAAGAGTATGTCACATTCATTCTCCAGTGGAATGCGGAGATCATTTGAAAGACAACGGTAGAACCCGCCCCACAACCGAGAGCCGTCAATGGAGCATGGCCAGACTAAATAATACATTTATTTAGTCTGGCTTGCCAGGCTAATGAAAATGTGAATTTCACCAAAAGTGATGTGCAGTGATTGTTTGTTTTTGGAGCCGCCTACTGGTGGTTAGGCGCAACTGCATGCAACGGGTCCTTCAGGCGCATTCAAGGCCCCTCCCACCAAAGCAGTAATGAAAGCTGGTGGAGGTAGGTGTACTGTGAAGCCGCTCTGCACTTAAAGTCATTTTAACCTTTAATTAATATATCAATAGGACTTGTTACAGATATTTAAGTGTTGTTAGAGCATATTTTGAAAAAGGTTATGTGTTTGCATTAAATTAATAACTTTATAGCCGAGATTCACGCTAATGGAAGCTAGCTTTTCAGTCCTTTTAGTAATGTTTGGGTTTTTCTTTTTGCCTTGAACAGACCGTTGTATGCAGTTGCAGCGCACACACACTGATGTATTATTGTGTGCTTGTTTTTACATCAGGTACGTTCAGATGTGTTTGGTAAAAATATGATTTGTAAATGTTTTATTGTTTCAACTGCCGGTGGCAGTTGACTGTTATACCTACTGATGGCAGTTAACTGTTTCAACTGTCGGCGGCTGCACTGTCATTGTTGGTACTATTAACTATTTTATATGTTTTATTAAAAAGAAAGTATGTATTGCTCTGAAATGCAAGTTGTTAAATTAATATATTGCTGTTGTTATTAAATGCCACTATACGATCACATGATGGGAAAAAAAAGGAAAAGCAGTAATGAAAGCTGGTGGAGACCGTTGTATGCAGTTGCAGCGCACACACACTGATGTATTATTGTGTGCTGGTTTTTACATCAGATCCTGCCAGTAAATAGCTCTGAAGGGCAGTCCTGTGTCTGTGGCCTGATTGTATGTGTGCGGTGATTTGAGGCGACAAAAAGAAAAACTCCAATAACCCTGGACGGACAAGAAGAAGCTGTCACACTAGGCCCAGCTAGCTAGCTTAACCCATCCAGAACTCTCCCCCCTCCTGGATAAAGATGGTGAAATACTACAGCTACAGAATTTTAAATACAAATTTAATAACATTCAATGTTCTCTTCAGGAATATGAGAAAGTATGTAAGGCGCTACCAGTGACTTTGATACAAATGATAAAAAAACACAATTCTCTTCTCTAATGTTCAAATAAAACTTCCTAATTTATTAATAGGAGAATTGAACATCACAGAAAGAAAATGTGAAAATAAATTTTTAAATGGAGCCTTTAAAAAATATATCTATCATGATTATGATAGAAAGATTAAACTAAAAATATTAGGAAATCCAATAATTGAAGGAAAACAACAACAATTTCTAAAATGGATATATTGCCCAAAGTAAAAGAAATGCAATTTAAAATTCTTAACAACTACTATCCATCAGCAGAGACACTGAGGAAGAGATTTGGTTTTGAAGTTGACCCTTGTGAATTCTGTCAGGGAAGCCCCTGAAGGACTAGAACACTTATTTTTCAGTAAGAAGTTTTGGGAAGAAGTCCATTGTTGGTTAAGAAATGAAATAAGAGAACTTGATCATTTTACAAATGAAGATATTCTTATTTACAATTCTAAATTAAATGGGAATAATTCATCGTTAATTAACATTATTATTATTATGGGTAAATACCACATCCACAAAAGCAAATGAAAAAAAAACAACTGCCAAACATGAACTGTTTCATAAATGAATTCCATATGTTCTTATCCACTTTGATTCGTATTAAAAATTCAAATGCAACTGCAAAAGCCATTTGTCATGCTGCAGAAAAATGTTTAATCTTGTAACAATGTTTTTACTTTGTGATATAAGTGCCTCTTTTTAAGTTTCTCATTTGTTTTTCTTTTATTGTTACTAAGGATGCCTTGTATGTTTCCATTATGTGTTGTTGTCTCACGAGAAATTGTAATAAGCATTTATTGATGATAATAAAAAAATGTTGGTAAAACTGAATCTTTGTAGGACTGCCATAATTGTTGTACCTTATATTTTGTGCAAATAAAAATAAATAAATAAATAAATACATAAATACACCTAGCTATCCCATCATGCAACGCGCTACAGCACCCGATACGTCACCTGACAAGGACCGATTCATATCGCAACGGCCTGTAAAGTAAATAATTATTTGTTCTACAAACGAAACATTCATTTTCATTATATTCCTTACGGTATTTTAACAAAAGACACGATAAGAATCAGGTATAAGTGCAGAGAGCGTCGGTGACCTTTCACCTTTGAGCTGGAGCGCAGCAGTAATGGCGGACAGACCCGACCCAACGAGCACAGCAGACCGTCTCCGCGTGTGGACACGGGAGGTGCGCTAAACGAGCTCTCAGGTACATCCGCTCTGCTTGTTCGGGTAAAACTCATCTTTGAAATAGAATTTCAGCCAGTGTGCGCGCGCACGCGGATGTATTGTTGTTGCACGTGCTTCCTTGTCTCAGCAGCAGCAGGAACACCACAGTAAGATATGAACTGGTGATGTTTACTGAGCGGAGCTACAGCTGATGGTGTTATTAGAGTGTGCTTTTATTATATTTGTTATGGTCGGAACTGCTATTGCGTCATCAACACGTTAAACTTCCTCTTCCCGTCTATATCGACATAAATATTGGACAATTCATGTGCATTTGCCCGAATTATAAGTGTTTGTTTTCAAATGGGAGGTTCCCACCGCCTGTGCATTTGCCCGAATTATAAGTGTTTGTTTCAAAATGGGAGGTTCCCACCGCCGCCATTTTGGCCGTGTCACACCTCTCGTCACGCCCAGGCAATCCTAAATGGGGAAAGAGGTGGGGCTAATAATTCTGACTCAAATGTTTTGCTAGCTGTTTGTGAAAAGGTGAAATGCCTTGGCCTTGTTATAACTGATGAAATGACAGCTGATGATGACACACACACAACAGTGTAAGCTCTATGCACGGGCACGTTAGTTTAGCTTTTGCTCCTCCTGTCAGACGCTCTGTTTAAGGCATTTTGCACACTGCTCATAATGCCCTTTTGTGGTCATCCTACAAACAATGCAGCATGCAGAAGCCACTTGTTGCTTACAGTGATGTGTTTAGATTCCTCCTTAAAAAATCCAGAGAGGGGAGTGCCAGCCAGGTGTTTGTTACTCCAGGTGTTAGTACTTTTAAAGCTCTTTTAAGATAACTAATGTTTTGGAGAACGCCTGGAAGGTTCAGATAACAGCATCATTTATAGGGTTGGGCATCGTTTCATTTTGAACGATTCCAATTTGTTGTTTTGATTCCAGTTCCAATCGATTCCCGATTCCAATTCTTTCAAGACATTCCATGTGTTAAATTAGCTAGCTAACCACAGGTCCTACTTGATGAAATAATCTTAACTCCAAAATGAATTTTAACTCTATGAATAATAGCATCACCTTCATTTAGACAAACATGTTTTGGAGAACAAAAGAAAAAGACTTGCAGCACAACCAGTGTGTTTTTTTTCTGACCACAACCAAAGTCTGGAAGAAGCCTCTGGGATGAGAGGCTAAATGCCTCCAACATATCCAGAAACATCCAGCTGTTTTCAGCTAAAACTCTCAGGATGATCATGTCCAGGATGGCTGAGAACTACACCTCCATGCTGCAGCAGCATTCAGTCAGAACAGAAAGTGAAGCTTAAATGTAGCTGGCTGTTTCTGACTGCTGACGCTCCGTGTGTGTTTTTATTTCTGCAGTGAGACAAACTCACCTCACACCGTCCAGAGTTTGTTCTTTAAAGCTTCTATTAAATCCACCGTGTTGATGTATTTTAGCAAGTTTCCTCTACAGGAGTTAAAGCTGGGCAGACGTGTTTGTTTATATTTGGCCTCTGCGCGCCGGGAGGGGGGACTCGGTGCTGCACACAGACAGCTGGTGTGATCAGCTCTGAAAAGCGTTGATCACAATTTGCAGATCACGTTTATTTTTCACGGAGATCGGCCGCGGATTCCTCTTCCGTCGGCATACTAGGAATCAAAATAAAAAACTTTGAACGATTCCGGGGAAAATGAACAGTTGGAACCGGTTCCAATCGATGCTCGATGCCCAACCCTAAAATCACTGATCCTAATGTGAGCTGTTGTTGCTACTCATCCAGCCTAAGGAAGCACTGGTTGAAGCGTTTGTGTGTTGACTCTTCTTAATTATGTTGGTTTTATATATTATGTTTTTATAATATAAACATATTTTCACTTAAATGTTTTAATATAGATTTCTTTTACCCTGGTAAGGTCTACTCAGGGGTTCTGGAGGGGAGGGTCCGGCGGATAGTTGAACCTCAGATTCAGGAAGAGAAATGTGGTTTTCGTCCTGGCCGTGGGACACTGGACCAGCTCTATACCCTTAGGGCAGGGGCGGGCAATCCTGGTCCTCGAGGGCCACAATCCCACATGTTTTACTGTTTTCCCTGTTTCAACGCACCTGATTTCAATCAGCAGGAGATTAGCTGGCTTCTGCAGCTTGATGAGCTGCTGAATCAACTGTGTTGGAACTGGGAAATAACAAAAAGATGGAGGATACCGGCCCTCGAGGACTGGAGTTGCCCACCCCTGCCTTAGGGGGTCCTGGAGGATGCGTGGGAGTTCACCCAACCAGTCTACATGTGTTTTGTAGATTTGGAGAAGGTGTTCGACAGCGACCCTCGGGGGGCCCTGTGGGAGGTACTCCGGGAGTATGGGGTACCAGGCCCTCTGATACGGGCTGTTAGGTCCCTGTATGACCGGTGTCAGAGCTTGGTCCGCATTGCCGGCAGTGCAGTAAGTCGAGCTTCTTCCCAGTGAGAGTTGGACTCCACCAAGGCTGCCCTTTGTCACCGATTCTGTTCATAACCTTTATGGACAGGATTTCTAGGTGCAGCCAAGGTGTGGAGGGCATCTGTTTTGGTGGTCTGAGGATCAGGTCTCTGCTTTTTGCAGATGATGTGGTCCTGTTGGCTTCATCAGAAGGTGATCTTTAGCTCTCATTGCAGTGGTTCACAACCGAGTGTGAAGCTGCTGGGATGAGGATCAGCTCCTCTAAATCTGAGACCATGGTCTTGAGTCAGAAAAGGGTAGAATGCCTTCTCCGGGTCAGGGATGAGATCCTGCCTCAAATGGAGGAGTTTTAAGTATCTCAGGGTCTTGTTCACGAGTGAGGGAAAGCTGGAGCATGAGATCAACAGGTGGATTGGTGCTGCATCTGCAGTGATGCAGGCGTTGTACCAGTCTGTCGTGGTGAAGAGAGAGCTGAGTCAGAAGGAAAAGCTCTGGATTTACCGGTCAATATACGTTCCCATCCTCACCCATGGTCACGAGCTTTGGGTAGTGACTGAAAGAACGGGATCACGGATATAAGCAGCTGACATGAGTTTTTTCTGCAGGGTGCCTGGGCTCTTCCTTAGAAATAGGGTGAGAAGCTCTGTCATCCGGGAGGGGCTCACAGTAGACCTGCTACTCCACATCGAGAGGAGCCAGTTGAGGTGGCTCGGGCATCTGGTCAGGATGCCTCCCGGTGAGGTTTTCCAGGCACATCCAACCGGGAGGAGGCCTAAAGGTAGACCCAGGACACGGTGGAGGGACTATGTCTCTCACCTGGCCAGGGAACGCTTTAGGATTCCCCCTTAGGAGCTGGCCCAAGTGGCTGGGGAGAGGGAAGTCTGGGCCTCTCGACATAGGCTGCTGCTCCCACAACCCGACTCTGGATATGTGGCCAAAAATGGATAGATGGATGGATGGGTGAATGTCTGTTAATTTTATGTATTTTACTTTGCATTTTTTGTTGTTTTAACGTTCACAATATCTAATACATTTCACCTTATTTTATATGGGACCAGTGTGTCTGTTAAATCAAGTCTTTTACTACTACTACAAATATACACAGTGATCACACATGGACAAAGGTAATTTAGCAATGGTAAATAAAATTAAATGAGTATCGGCAGCAGTGTTTGTCTGATGTATTTAGCTTCTGTTAGGGATAAAAGCTTTATATTGTCCATGTGGGTCTGAGTATCTGTCCCCAGTTCTCCAGACACAATAATTTGGTGTTACAACCCTGTGACCATGTCCCGCTGCACGGAGGCTCCTTCCACTGTTGTCTGGGAAGCCGGAGCACCCCCTCTGCACAACACCAGGTGCATCTGATCCAGGAGGAGCTACTGGGTAATGTTTCATCCATGATGTCAAACAAGAGACTTGGGTCAGGTGTTTAGCGGCTCTCCAGCAGTCTGGGATGTTTCCAAGTTCAGGGATCTGATAAAAGATTAGACAAAGAAGATGATGGTTAATAATTGCTACACGCTAATGAAGAGTGTTAAAAACAACCTGAACATAATATTTACTTTACCAGTGTGGAATGTCTGAAAACTGTAGAGCTCTCTGCAAATACATTTGAGCTATTTTACTTATCTTTAACTAATGACTAAAAAATTAAAGACAAATGATAACACTCCACCCAATACAAATTATATGTTGGTCTATGGATGCTTTGAACGATTATTATTAGTGAAGTAGAATTTGTATCCAACCTACGTATTACAATAAATACTTTTCACCAACAGTGAAATGGGTTCTGCACACCTGTACACACGAAGAGAAGAACCTAAAAATAATATAAACTCTTCAGCAATCCTTTGTTGTAACTCCTCAACTCGACGTGCGTCTTGAACTAAAAGACTTTCTTCTAGAGGTCCTCTCACCTGTTCTGTTGGTGCAGAGATGTTCCACGAGCTTCTCCAGTTCTGCTCCTGGCTCTGGTTTCTGTACCAGACCCCGTGAGGCTCTCATCATGAAAACTGATGTGGAAAAATAAAGAACCCATTTCACTACAAAACAAGAGGCCACAACAATATTTGACTGACATCATAGGAGTCAGAAAGCTATTAGCAGTATTAGTTCATGTTTGCTAATACTAGCAGGCTTCCATGCTATTTATTACTTTTGAAGATGGAAATAATCCCTAAATAACCATTTTAAAACATACTTCGTTACCATAGAAACACGTTAAACTAAATGATTCAGGTTAGACGTTTATATTGTTTGTTTTTCACTTACCGGTCATTGGGCCATATTGATTCAGGTGAACTGCGACAGGTGTTCTGCTCTCGGTTGTTCACCGTGGCAGAACGTGTCCCCATATCCGGAGGGGCGTGGCCTAAGGATTATAGGGAGCCTTATTTCGGATTGGTTATTTTTGAGCTGGCTAGTCCCTCCCCTCATGTGCCTCTCTGCCTGTGAGTGACCAGACTTAAGCGCCGCGTGATTTTTATCTTGAGAGGCGCTATAGAAATGATATTTTTGTCTTCGTCTTCTTCTTCTTCAGACTCTTTCTGTGCAGAATTAAACAGAGGACAAGTCTGGCAGGCCAGGCTACGAAATCCATGGCACATGACAAGCGGAGTTAGAATATAGCATTTTTAGCCCCATTGACTTGCATTTGTTTTTTTGTTTTGTTTTTTGGGGGGGGGGGGGGGGTTGTGTTTTTTTTTTGTTTGTTCTTCCAGGGCCCGTGGTCCGGAAGTAGATGGGTGTGATTTAGACTCCTTGTACCCAAGGGAAGGGTGAGAGTTCTGGGACCACGTATGTGTAAGCTAGCTAGCTGGGCCTAGCTAGTTTGGATTTGTTACAGCACCTTTAACTTTGTAACCTGTTGATACAAATTCTACACAGTCAAATGGAGGTAGGCACATAAAACCAATAATACACAATGCACAAAAATGACTTGTGCTCACAAATGTAACCAGCCAAAATAGACATTTCTTCCTACACAAGGCTCTTGTCCAGTCAGGAAAGTTAGCATTTCAACATGTTCTGGAGAAAGGCTTGCTCTCTTTTGAGAGCAGATGTTCCCAGCTGCAGAGAAGATCCGTTAAGATCCGTTCCGATGGGGTGGCAGGGGTGCACAGAAAAGATGTAGCTAGCTGAGCTTAGTGTGGCTAAATCTTTTCTGTGAAACGATCTTGATTTTCACTCCACCATCTTCACTCACCATGTTCCAGTCTTCACTCAGGTAGTGGCAGGACCAAGCCCCCACAATGCGGGACAGAAATTGAGACAAATGCGGAAGTGAAATAAATTGCAGTTCCACCCTCATCTTTTAGGGGATTGACTCCCATGTTAAAAATACCAATTTCACAGCAGAAATAAACATGTTTACAGCCTGGTTCCAAAACATGTTTTTGGTTTAAATGATCTAGTTTACACTCATGACAACTCTGAGGGGGGTACATTTTTCTCACTCTTCTGTTTAAGTGTATTAAAAGCCTAAAATGAGCATCAGACCCACGTGACCACAGAGCTAGCTCCGGGGAAAGGCCTCGGTCTGAGCCTCGGCCTCGCCTGAAAACTGTTCCGCCATTTTCAGTCTCTCAACTTAGACCATTAGTTGTAGCGTTTGCGTATTCTTTTTTAGATATTATTTGTGCAATTGTTGGACAAAATGACTTGCTGTGGCATTAATTGCACTAATAGAGCGTCCAAGGACTCTCCACTTCATTTTTTTCAGTAAGTAAAATTATATTTATGTATTTTAGGTCACTGCTGAGCTTAGATTTTAACATGTACTGTTTAACCATGAATTTTAAATGTAATAGGGTAAAACCCAGTGCATTTAACATAATGCTGCACTTTAGAAAATGGGTTGAAATATAACATGTTGGTGGAGCTGGGTTCCGACTATCGGCTTGTGGAGCTCTCGGGAGACCGATGTTTTCCACCCGGTTCTCCCCAGCGGCAGCTCTGCGCATCTCAGATTGCAGCGGCGCTTGTCTGCTGTGTGGCTGCCGGCTTGTGGAGCTCTCGGGAGACCTCTGTGTTCCACCCGGTTTTACCCAGCGGTCAGCCCGGCGTATCTCTGACTCAGAAGCTCTGGTGTTGTGCACAGTTAACTCCGGTTGTAGCTAAGTTGCTACCTCCGTTAGCTTGGCTCCCACCTCCGTGTCAGCTTCGGGTTAGCTTCAGGTTAGCTTGTAGCTAGTTTGCCCGGGTGTCGTCAGTTGATCCCAGCCTTACAGCCCCTCCCTCAGCTCCACCTCTCTTCCCTTTTGTGGAATTGTCTGGGCTTGACGGAACCTGTGACACGGTCAAAATGGCGGTGGTGGCCACCTCCCATTTCTCCTCAAAAACGTGTTATTGGAGCCTATGGAAATGAATTGTCCAGTATATATGTCAATGGGCAGGACACACCTAGGTACCACTCTGTAGCACGGCTGGTCCACACATCAGCAGTCAGGGTCAGGGAGCAATTGATAGCTCTGAAGGCCTGCTTTACCTTAAAGATAAACTATATGAAGGTTAGTTTATTTACCAAATTAATAATTCTGTTATATCAAATAAAGTAGGTTAAGATTTAACACAAAGAAAAATAAATATTATGCTTTAATCATTGTTAATTTCTTGATTGCTAACCCTAACCCTTGGTCAGGGTGTTGGCTTGCTGCTGTGTGCACCTGCTGGTGGTGGTCGGAGGGACCGGTGGCACCAGTGCTCCGCAGCCTCGCCTCTGTCAGTATGCCCCAGGGCAGCTGTAGCTGCATCGTAGCTCATCACCACCAGCGTGTGAATTTGTGTGTGCATGACTTATTGTATTGTAAAGTGCCTTGGGGGGTTCCAGGACTCTAGAAGGTGCTATATCAAAAACAGACCATTTACGTGTTTGCCTTTGTTACAGACTTGTCCACTGAAGAGGAAGAGCACATTTATTACCACTGTAACGTAGCGGGATAAAATAAATCATTAGTGTTTGTAACGTTAGAGCAAACACATGACACATACATGATTTACAGGTAATAAAATCACCATCACTACTAGGCGTTTAATGGTAAGCCAAAATCATTCTGGATTCTGTTCAGTGTTTTGAAGAGCTCTGTTTGATAAAGCGGCTCATATGGTGAGCAGAAGCAGGTGTCATCACATGCTGCTGATCTAGCATGATGTTTAATTATTTACAGGTTATTAGTGCAGCTATGAGTGTCACGCTCATACAGACACGTGTTGTGTTTGACTGTTGATGCTCCTGTTTTTATTTCTGCAGCGAGCCTTAAAAACTCTCCTCACACTGCCCACACTCCTTTAAAACTCGTATGAAATAACGAGATTCCTCCGCACCGTGTTTTTGTTGTAGGATGAAAACTTTGCATCAGTTATCCCAGGGGGAAGTTCAGCAGACGTGTTTGTTAACATTTTAGCCATTGTGTCAGCAGTGTGAGAGAAGGGGGGGGAGGGGCGAAGCGACGCCCCCCCCCCCCCCCCCCCCCCCCAAGGCGGTTTACAACTAGTGATGTGCGAGTCATGAACAAATCGTTCAATACTCGCCTTACTTTACTGACTCACGGATCATCATTCACAACCCCAACTGGCTCATGCCTGTTACTGTTAGCAAACAAATTTAATTGGTAAAAATATATCTGGCATATCATTAAAATTGTGTCAAAAACAGCAGCAAGTTTGTTAACTAAAGCTTTTTCTTACCTGTTCTGGGCTGGAAGCTCATTAGTCCACAGTAGTATCGCTATGCTAACAGGCTAATGTTTGAGCCACTCACCCCCTCCCTTCCTGATAGCTAGCTAGCAGTGCTAATCGTAGCATGAGCAAATGACTCAGCTGCTCTATAGAGCTCCGGGAGTTGACGTCACTTCTCCCGGCATGCAACAGTTCAAATCGAAACGGCGCCATTTGGCATGCAGAAGCCGGCAGCTGGACTATTTGTTATTGTCAGAAAACTCAATAAAACGGGAAATATGGTAGATTCCTGTTGTGCCCCAGGATGCAGAACAGACGCGGACGACATAAGGAATGAGCCTTCTACAAGATCCGGAGCGCCGCAAACGTTGGATCATTGTAATAAAACGCGCTAGTGACCGGGCGAAAATGAAGCTGTGGGATCCCGAGAGTAAAGGATTTTGCTTATGCAGCGACCGCTTCATATCAGGTACTTAAACCAACATTTCCTCAACTGTGTATGGTGTTTATTTTAAATGCTTTTATTATGATTCTTAGTGGGCTTCCTAAACTTATTTTGGCGTGGCTTTTTCTGTCTTATTACTCATAGCAACAAGTAAACATCACGTAAGACGTTGCCTCGTGAGTTCTGCGTGCTGCCGTTTCCGTGTTTTATGATCACAGCAATTAACCGGCTAAGCTGTATTTAATGTTTAAGCAATGGTTGATCAATTGTCAGATCACACATAAAAAGCACTTTGTATAGCTATTATCTGTCTCACCGAGACTACTTACGTGTAAATCTGTTATTTGTCTGTCCATCCATCCATTTTCATCCGCGTATCCGGAGTTGGGTTGCGGGGGCAGTAGCGTGACTTCCCTGTCCCCAGCCGCCTGAGCCAGCTCCTCCGGGTAAATCCCAAGGGGTTCCCCGGTCAGGTCCGGTGTTGTGCCGGTAAGAAGCCCGCTCCGACAGCTTCTGGCGTCGGAGCGGGCAGTAGAGTCGAGAGTCTCAGACCTTCTCCCCAGCTCCTCCGGCCGGGGGAATCCTAAGGGGTTCCCCCGGCCAGGTCCAGTAAGAAGTCCGCTCCGACAGCTTCTGGCGTTTTTAAAAAGTATCCCAGGGACACGGTAAGGGTCAGAGATGTTTAGTCTATTTAATTTCTGACTATATAAAACGATTTCTTCTGTTTTAAAGTGTGAAGTAAACTCCGACAAAGTAAAATCCAAGCGGATCCCGTTCATGTTCATGGTTACATCCGTGTTTGTTTACCTTTTTTGCATGCCAAAATGGCGTCCACTAACTGAGAGTCACGTGGGGTCCGGAGCTCTATAGCTGGCCTCACTCACCCCCCCTCTTGCGGGTTTCAGTTCATAGGAGTTACCCAGTGGAAGCTGGAGGTACTACAGGACTCATTCACCCCTCCATCCTGGCTCTTAGCTGCAGAAACTCGGTTTCAAGTTTTTTGACGAAATTCAAATCATTTTACTGTTCAGTTAAGTTACTTAGAACTAAGTGTGCAAAAATGAATTGTCTAGTGTTTCCAAACAATTGTTTAGAAAGTTTTGATGCTGCTTTTGTTCCGTGACTTTCGTCTTTGGCTTTCACGTATCCTTTATTTAAAAATAGATGTCCTCTCGGTTCTTTGTTATAATATATGTTGTCTGTTGTTGTGCTAATGAGCAGACTAAAGACAAAACTCCGTTCCACCACCATTTAAAACAAGAATAAACTGCAGTGCATAAAATAGATGTTTTACTTTTTCTGAGCCACTCGTGTGAGTGGTAGGATTCACATGGAAAGAGGAGCAAATTGAGTTTGAGTGATAATGTAGATTTTATTTTGTACTCAGTGACTCAAATTAATCAAAAAACTCAATTCATTTTGTTGAGTGACTCATTCAAACTCAGTAAAAAGAATCAAGTTTACCATCACTACTTACAGCACAATCAGTCATTCACACCCTGGTGGGGATCAGCTACGATGTAGCTACAGCTGCCCTGGGGTGCACTGACAGGCGTGGCTGCCGTACTGGTACCACCGGTCCCTCCAACCACCACCAGCAGTAGGCCAGGTGGGTTAAGCAACAGACTGAGCGGGGCGAGCACTTAGCTCCTCTGCCACCGTCGCCCAAATTATTCCATCTTTAGTTCATTCTAGTTCCAAATTTTCATAAATCCATCAGTTGGATCCCACAACGAAAAAAATATGTCACTAAATGCTGTATCATCAATGCTTCACATTTATAAGACCCTATTTTTAGGCGGCTAAGTGACTAACAAGCTAAGAGGAAATTCAAACCATCCCAGCAACAGTCTCCTCCTGAACCGGCTGCCATCTTGCTGTGTTTTGGGACATCTCCAGCTCCTCAGGCTTTCCACATGAACAGATCACCATTTATAGGTGACACAAGAGTTCGTTGGTTGTTGTCTACCTGGTTCCCTACGGCTCAAACGCCGGTCCGTGTGTCACCTTTCATGGGCTCGACACACGGGAGGCGACATCGCCTCTCCTCCATTCATTTTCAATGAGACATGAGCGGCAAAGCGATAATCGCGGGTCTCCCTCCTACTAAGCGAAACGCGAAAAACGTGCGTGTGAAATTTTGTGCTCGTGCACGTGTCGTGCACAGGCGATCCAGCGACGCAATCCCAGAAAGTTGAAATATTTTCAACTTTCCATCGCTGTCGCTTGGACGAGGACCAATCAACGGGGGTTTCATTCACTGACCAATGAGCTGACAGGATGCTCCGTACATCTCTGAGCAAACATGAAGGAGAAGTTGATTATTATTATTATGTTTTTTATAGTAAAATCAGAAGTAAGATTTCACATAACTCTAGCAGCACCTTGTGAAACATCATTTCTACCACTTTTTTTTTTTACTCTGAACCACTTAAATAACCTTAATTCCCTCCAACCTGACACAGCCAAACAAAACAACGGAAGTTTTGATTTCACCATGGAACAGAAAGCGTAGAAGAAGAAGAAGAAGAAGAAAATATAATTTCTATAGCGCCTCTCAAGATAAAAATCACGAGGCGCCTCACAAAAACAAAAAATGTAAAAATATAAAAAATCATTTAGAAAATGTTTAAAAATATTTTTAAAATGAGCAAAAATAGACAATTATGATTTTAAAAATGTTAAGAAAGAGAGAGAGTGAATAGGAAAGAGGGAAATCAGTGGATCCTGAGGAAGGTGGAATAGGTGGGGAGAGCAGAATAAAGAGAGAGGGGTTGAAGAAGGTCATACAAAAGCCAGCTTGAACAAGTGAGTCTTCAGCTGCTTTTTAAAGGAGACCACTGAGTCCACTGATCTCAGGCTCAGGGGGAGAGAGTTCCAGAGTCTGGGGGCCACAGCAGCAAATGATCTGTCACCTTTGGTCTTTAGCCTGGTGCTGCACAACCAGTAGGCTTTGATCACTGGACCTCAGGGACCTGCTGGGGGTGTAGGGACTAAGAAGATCACCAATGTAAGATGGTGCTTGTCCATGTAAGGCCCTATAGACCAGAACCAGGATCTTGAAATGAACCCTGAAGTTGACCGGCAGACAGTGAAGCTGGAGGTGAAGCGGGGTGATGTGGGTGTGTTTGGAGGACTTGGCCAGAAGCCGAGCACAGGCATTCTGAACCTCCTGTAGACGGTTCAGGGAGGTTCTGCTCAGACACGTGAAAAGAGAGTTACAATAGTCTAAGCATGAGGAGATTATGGTGTGGAGAACTGTCTCAAGTTCAGAGCGAGAAAGAATGGGACTCAGCTTAGCAATGTTCCTGAGATGGAAGAAGGAAGAGCGAACAAGAGAACTGACATGAGAATCCAGGGTGAGAGCTGGGTCAAAGGTCACACCAAGATTCCTGACAGAAGGTTTGGTGTGAGAAGCAAGCTGACCAAGAGAGTCTCTGACTTTGGGAACCAGCTTGTCTGGGGCACAGATGAGGATCTCAGTCTTATCTTCATTCAGCTGTAGAAAGCTCCCAGCCATTCAGGTTTTGATAGAGTCTAAGCAGGTGTGTAACAGCTGCAGCTTAGACATCTCATGGGGCTTAAAGGAGATGTACAGTTGGATGTCATCTGCATAAAGATGGTAGGAGATTCCTTTGAAGGAGCTCAGGATGTGCTGAAGAGGAAGCAGATAGAGGAGGAAGAGCAGAGGCCCCAGTACAGAACCTTGTGGGACACCATGGGTAAGAGAGGTGGTGGAGGACCTAAACTTGGAGACGGCCACAGAAAAGGAATGTTCAGAGAGATAAGAGAACCACTCCAGAGCAGATCCTGGTAGGCCTACCCAGTCTCTGAGCCTCTCCAGTAGCAGGTGATGGTCAACAGTGTCAAAGGCTGCAGTCAGGTCCAGCAGGACCAGAACAGAACAGTCTCCTGCATCACTGTGAGTCAGAAGGTCATTAGAGACCCTAAGAAGAGCTGTTTCAGTAGAATGAGCTCTACGAAAACCTGACTGGAGGCTATCATAGATGTTCATCAAGAGCAGCTGTGAGGTGTTCAGCCACAACCTTTTCCAAGATCTTGGAGATGAACGGAAGTTTAGAGATGGGTCTGAAGCTGCTATGGAGAGAGGGGTCAAGACTCGGTTTTTTAAGAAGCGGGTGGATTACAGCGTTCTTAAAGTAAGCAGGGACCTGACCAGAAACCAGAGAAGCATTAATTATAGAGAGCACGCTGGGACCGATGGACTGAAAAGCACTTTTAAACAAAAGATGAGGGTAAGATGTCGAGGGGGCATGCAGAGGTCTTCATAGAGTTAACTAGTTTGGTTAACTCAGGCAAAGAAACAGGAGCAAAGCCATCTAGGATGATGGGCCTGGTTGGAGTCGGGAGAGGCAGCAATTCAGTAGACGCGTAGCTTTGCCGCGGGCTGCCTCCCTTGTGTCAGGCAATAAAAGCGACAGCGATGAATTTCGCTGATCGGGGTCATTTGTCGCCTCCCGTGTGTCGAGCCCCTTATAGTTCGTGTAATGGGCTCGACACACGGGAGGCGACATCGCCTCTCCTCCATTCATTTTCAATGAGACATAGGTGGCAAAGCAATAATCGCGGGTCTCCCTCCTACTAAGCGAAACGCGAAAAACGTGCATGTGAAATTTTGCGTTCGTGCACGTGTCGTGCACAGGCGATCCAGCGACGCAATCCCAGAAAGTTGAAATATTTTCAACTTTTCATAGCTGTCGCTCGGACGAGGACCAATCAACGGGGGTTTCATTCACTGACTAATGAGCTGACAGGATGCTCCGTACACCTCCGAGCAAACATGAAGGAGAAGTTGATTATTATTATGTTTTTTATAGTAAAATCAGAAGTAAGATTTCACATAACTCTAGCAGCACCTTGTGAAACATCATATCTACCACTTTTTTTAAACTCTGAACCGCTTAAATAACCTTAATTCCCTCCAACCTGACACAGCCAAACAAAACAACGGAAGTTTTGATTTCACCATGGAACAGAAAGCGTAGACGCGGGCCGCCTCCCGTGTCTCAGGCAATAAAAGCGACAGCGATGAATTTCGCTGATCGCGGTCGTTTGTCGCCTCCCGTGTTTCGAGCCCCTAACACAAGCCCCGTGGATTTCTGAGTTGTTCCTCACTTTAATACGACAATGGCCTTTAGAACTTTAAGAAGCTCCAGTGAATTGTCTGAACATCTTCATCTGTGAACAAAAGCTAGCATTAAAGCTCAGTAAGGTCTGGTCCTAGCTGTGGTTCAAACCCAGTGCTGCTGATAGTGGTAATGTGACTGATGCTCTTTGTTTGAACAATTTTGGTTCTTACAGGCACTATGGAAGCTGCAGAGCTGAGGCTTTAGGGGCGCTGACCGGCACCATGCAGCAGAAAGGGGCCATCCAGATTATTGAATGGGAGGACCTGGACAAGAGGAAGTTCTACTCTTTGGGTGTGTTTATGACCCTGACCACCCGGGCCACCGTCTATCCAGCCAGCCTGATCCGTACCCTTTTGCAGGTTCAGAAGGGAAAGGCTTTGTACTCTGGCACCTTTGATGCTTTCTGCAAGATCCTGCGAGCGGAGGGGATAAGGGGCCTTTACCGCGGCTTCATGATCAATATGTTCACCCTGGTGGCTGGACAGGGCTACATCACCACCTATGAACTGGTGCGCAAGTATGTGTCCTTCCACTCTCCCAGTAACACGGTCAAGTCTGTGGTGGCGGGAGGAGCAGCCTCACTGGTGGCTCAAACCATCACTGTGCCCATAGATGTGGTGTCTCAGCACCTGATGATGCAAGGACAAGGTGAACACTTGACACGCTTCAAGGTCAAACACAAAATGATGCTCGCCACAACCAAACGGAGGCCGACCTTTGGGCAGACGAGGGACATAACGGTGCAAATCTTTGCGGCCGACGGCTTCAGGGGCTTTTACAGGGGCTACGTGGCGTCACTGCTCACGTACATCCCAAACAGCGCCCTCTGGTGGCCTTTCTATCATTTTTATGCAGGTACTTCAACACACTCCCTACAGATGCTTGTTATAGGATTAAAGCCTATAAAACAGTACATGGCAGTGCAAACGGCAGGAATCTGGGTCTGACATGGTTTTCCTCCTTCAGAACAGCTGTCTTTATTGGCACCGAGCCAGTGTCCCCACCTGGTCCTGCAGGCGGTGGCAGGACCAATGGCAGCAGCTACTGCCTCCACCATCACCAACGCCATGGATGTGGTCCGTACCAGAGTCCAGGTAAGGTTACACGCACTCACACACACCACACACACACACACACACACACACACACACACACACACACAGCTTCTGCCCTGAGAGCAGACCAGGTTTCTGACACCCCCCATCTCTCATAGGTGGAGGGGCGTTCATCTGTCACAGAGACCTTCAGGCAGCTGCTGGCCGAGGAAGGTGTCTGGATGATGACCAAAGGGCTGTCAGCTCGCATCATCTCGTCTCTGCCCACGTCGGTGCTCATCGTGGTTGGATATGAGACTCTGAAGAGGCTGAGCCTGCGGGCAGACCTGGTGGAGTCCAGACACTGGTGAAGCAACCAGCGTGTGGGTCAGAGACCATGTCCCATAGCTATCTGTTTGATGCAGGCTGAAGAGGTCTGCTGTAGGAGAGGTAGACGTGACTGGAGACACGTTGATAAAATGTTTTGTTTTATATCAGCTGATCAAAGTGGCTTCGCTGTTATTAGGTGTTTGTCAGCAGTGCAGGTGTTCTGCTGCACCTTCAGCTCTGGTGTTTGCTTCATGTTTGGGACCAGATCATGCGGTCTGTCCCAGTAGGAAGGCTTCTGTAACCATCACCTGATGGTCTATCATCTTCCAGATGTCCAACCAGTTCAGAGAAGGTCTTCTGTTACCTGTCTCAGAGCTTCAGAGTTCTTATTCATTCCAAACAGACTTGTACTAAAAGACGACGGAAGCTTTTAAAGAGATATTTATATTTTTACTCCAACAGGTGAGCTATAAGCCACTTATTCCTCATGGCTGTTCAAATATACATTTATCACTGTTCACAGAGCCCTGCTGCTGGGGTTTATGGTCCGCCTCAGCGACTTGGTGTTTTTCATTCGTGGTGCAGGTCCTGTCCCACGTCACCTGCAGGTTTGTGACGGGTCCGATTTGTTTCTGCAGGATCATGTTTGATAGGCACACGTCATCTTCATCATCAGTAAGTTCGTGCTGCATCTCACATCTGGCCACTAGAGGCAGAACTCGCTTCATAACTGCCATGAAAATGTGAGTTAGTTGAAAATGCAATAGTTTAAAACCATTGTGATTAATAAAATCTGTCATTAAAACATTTCCTGTGTCAGAGGTTTGCAGTTAGTAGAGCTGGACCACTGTCATGTTTCAGCCTTTTGACTGGCAGATGCTAAAACATCCTTTAGCATCAAATCTTATTATATGACTGGATATAAGGTGGACCTGAACTCCGGTATGCTAGCCTATAGTTTCATCATGAAGACACCTGGCTTCTGCACCTTATAGTCATGTTTTCACTTTTTATTTATGAAAACTACAATATGCTTCTGTATGCTGATGGCAGGGTATGTGGCACATAGGTTTCTCCTTTTGAAACAGAGGAAAAAAGCAAAAAATGTATTCATCATTGAGTGCATGTGCGAGTGGCTAGGTGGCAGAAACAAACACAATGTGGCCTGCTATCAATATGCAACGTACTCATTTAAGAAAGTTTACTTACAAAATCCCTGATATATAAACACTACCATCCAAAGGGAGGAGGTGGTCTAGGGAGAAGCTTATTGAAGATTAAATTAAGGTGGGACTTTAAGGCACAGGGCTTGGTTGGTTCCAGTCCTATCTCAAAGACAGGGGCTATGTTGTCTCTATTAGGGACTACCAATCAAAGCCGATCACCATGACGTGGGGTCCCCCAAGGCTCAATTCTAGGACCACTACAATCTCTATATGCTCCCCCTGGGTCAGGTCATTAACATTGCCTATCATAGCTATGCTGATGACACCCAGATCTAACTAGCCTTATCACCAAGTGACTATCGGCCACTGGACTCACTCTGTCAGTGCCTAGAACAAGTAAACGACTGGATGCAGTCAAACTTCCTTCAACTAAACAAAGACAAGACTGAAGTTATTGTCTTTGGCAACAAGAAGGATAGAATGGATGTTATTGGTCAGCTAGACTCCAGGGGAATAAAGAAAAAAACCCAGGTTAGAAATCTTTGTGTTATTAATGACTCAGACCTGAACTTCTCGGGACATACAGGTCCTTCTCAAAAAATTAGCATATTGTGATAAAGTTCATTATTTTCTGCAATGTACGGATAAACAGACTTTCTTATATATTTGATTCATTACACACAACTGAAGCAGTTCAAGCTTTTTATTGTTTCTAATATTGATGATTTTGGCATACAGCTCATGAAAACCCAAAATTCCTATCTAAAAAAAATTAGCATATTTCACCCGACCAATAAAAGAAAAGTGTTTTTAATACAAAAAGTCAACCTTCAAATAATTATGTTCAGTTATGCACTCAATACTTGGTCGGGAATCCTTTTGCAGAAATGACTGCTTAAATGCAGCGTGGCATGGAGGCAATCAGCCTGTGGCACTGCTGAGGTGTTATGGAGGCCCAGGATGCTTCGATAGCGGCCTTAAGCTCATCCAGAGTGTTGGGTCTTGCGCCTCTCAACTTTCTCTTCACGATATCCCACAGATTCTCAATGGGGTTCAGGTCAGGAGAGTTGGAAGGCCAATCGAGCACAGGAATACCATGGTCAGTAAACCATTTACCAGTGGTTTTGGCACTGAGCAGGTGCCAGGTCGTGCTGAAAAATGAAATCTTCATCTCCATACAGAGATGGAAGCATGACGTGCTCCAATATCTCCTGATAGCTAGCTGCATTGACCCTGCCCTTGATAAAACACAGTGGACCAACACCATCAGCTGACATGCCACCCCAGATCATCACTGACTGTGGGTACTTGACACTGGATTTCAGGCATTTTGGCATTTTCCTCTGCCCAGTGGCAGTGGTAGTTATTTGTGTCTATGGAGGACTCTTAAGAAGTCGAAGCTGGTTCAGCTTTGTTCTGAAGGAACCGTCTGCAGTCAGCTGTAGCATGTGTAATGAAGTCAATAGAGGGTAAATTGGATTAAATAAATTGCTTAAGAGCTATTTATTTCTATTCTTATTACAAGTTTATTCCTATAGGCATGCATTTGTCCTTTTGATGTTGCTTCAACTCAAGCCCCCACAATGCGGGTGAAAAATTGAGGCCAACGCGGAAGTACCAAAAACTGCAGTTCCACCCTCATCCACTAGGGGCTGGTGTCAGAAGCGAGCAAATCCTCATTGACTCCCATGTTAAATATACCAATTTCACAGCAGAAATAAACATGTTTACAGCCTGGTACCAAAACATGTTTTTTGTTTAAATGATCTAGTTTACACTCATGACAACTCTGAGGGGGTGGATTTTTTTCTCACTTCTGTTTAAGTGAATTAAAAGCCTAAAATTCTGTGTAATGAATGAGCATCTGACCCACGTGACCACAGAGCTAGCTCCGTGGAAAGGCTTCAGTAGAGCCTCGGTCTGGCTTGGAAACTGTTCCGGGATTTAGAGTCTCTGTGTTTGTGTATTCTTTTCTGGATATTATTTGTGCAATTGTTGGACAAAATGACTTGCTGTGGCATTAATTGCACTAATAGAGCATCCAAGGAGTCTCCACTTCATTTTTTTCGGTAAGTAAAATTATATTTATGTATTTTAGGTCACTGCCGAGCTGAGCTTAGATTTTAACATGTACCGTTTAACCATGAAATTTAAATGTAATAGGGTAAAACCCAGTGCATTTAACATAATGCTGCACTTTAGAAAATGGGTTGAAATATAACATGTTGGTGGAGCTGGGTTCCGACTATCGGCTTGTGGAGCTCTCGGGAGACCTGTTTTCCACTCGTTTCTCCCCTCCCCGCAGCTTGGCGCATCTCTGTCGAGTAGCCCCTGGCTGCATCCCGGAGATCGGGGCGGGGCTAAATGTGGGCGGGGTTAAACGTTTAGAGGTGGGTGGAGACAACTATTTGACTCCTGCCCCTCTCTCAATGGAACCAGGAAACCGTGAGTAGCCCCTTTCTAAGGATTAGAAAGCCCTAAAAACCCACAAAACCCATGTAAAGCATAACATTGGTAATCAAATGACTTGTTTGCTGGATGTCATGATAATTTTAAAGAGCAGATAATTACAGGCGCCATTTTTGATCCAATCTGTTCTGATATTTTTATTCTTTTTTCTACTTTTGTATGGTATGTGTATTTATAGCACATAGGTATTTGTGTCTTTTAGCTATACTTTTGGTACCTATATAAAAGGTTCAGGCATTTGATAGACTATTCTTTAAACCTGTCAAAACCATTTTAATAGTTGATTTTATCAATGCCGCCTTTATTTTAATAGTCATTTCCCAAGTGAGTGTAAAACAGTACAGACACGGGTAAATTTGTTGTACACTCAGTTATATCAGCTACATTAAGAGGACCAGAGACTTAAATTGTGCTGATACTTCTTAAAACATGCCAGGGTTTGAGGCGGGGTGGTGAGACATTGTGTGAGACACCCAAGAATGCAGACTAAATTTTTCAAAAAAGGTAAATTTAATAGAGCAAACAGCCAACACAGGAAAAAAAAAAGTACAAACAAATGAACCAAAAAGCACACAAAAAGCAAGAGAACCTCCAAAAAAACAATGTGAGGAGGAAAAAGAATGCAAAAACTGTGACACCGCTGTACTATGGCATTTCAAAGCCAGAAAACACCCTGATCTTCCTTTTTTCCTCAATTTCTCTGCAGAACTCCTCATAGTCTGACTGAAAACTAAACATGAACAGGAACAGTTCCCTGCAATCGTTCATCTCCTCTTCATCTAGGCCATCACAGAAGCATAACCTCTCCACTGCCCTCCGGCAAGCTTCCCTGTCCATGGTGATGACCTGGGGAAGGGAAAGGCTTCTTTTGAAGGACCTTGTGGTACACCACCTTGCTGCCTCAAAGGTGTCCTCAAGCAGAGAATTCTCCTAATCAAAAATAAAGACAATATTAAAATTACTGCTGTCAAGAGATTAAAAACATATTTTACATTAATTATGTATGATCTGAAAGTAATCTAATCTTTTAATTTAATCTAATAACTGTACATAATATAAGCCTTATTTTCAATGCTAACAGCTAACCAAACAGCTGATGCTGTGGTCTTTACAAACTGCAGCACGGATGTGCGTCTGATACAGGAGAGAAGCTGTCAGCAGCCTTGATGCTCAGTGACACACCCATTACATCCAAATGGTAACAATAACTTTGGAAAAAGTTGCAAGAAGGGTGAAAAAAACAGAGTAAAGATAACAAGGTCGCTGAAATAAACACTGCTGCAGCTAATCTCTCACCGGTCTTGTCACTGTAACGTCAACCCTTCAACTTATGAGTTTACATCAACCCTTCAAGAACACCAGCAAGAAGCGTAAAAGAAAAGAAATTGGTTTATTTAAAAGTCCCATAAAGAAGCAGTAGATTAAAAATGATTAACATAATTAAAATATATAACATGTTAATCATGGCTGTAAAAAATTAATTGCAAGTAATGGAATTATTTGACACCTCTAATTAAAATAGAGGTTGGAGAAGAAACAATGACACAAGAAAAGCCAACAATATAAAACATACTCTGTTCCCTGTGTCCAGTTCCAGCAAGTTCTCAGCCTCTGCTAGAAAGGAAAAAGATTGTGGTTCATAAAAAGCATATTAACAGTGCAAGTTGTAAAAAAGATCAGTTGCTTAGTATTCTGGTTTAATGAAAATAGAGAAATGACTGAAAAACTTGCTTTGAAAAAAAAAGTGCTCGTCTGGAACGGTCTTAATTTTCTAATCTTGGCAAAGTAAGAATTTCATTGTGCAGAAAGCGTGTTTTTCTAGCTGTACATATGACAAAAAGTTGAATCTTGATTCTTCCCACATCCCATTTCGACAACCTAGGGGGTTGTGTACAATAATACTTGTTTGAACAATACCTGATGCTGCACAGGCTAATTCAGTATGGCAGGACTTCTTAGGAGGGACCACTTCCAGGCCCTGAAATAAGTGAAGGAATTATGCTTTAGTCTGCAAGCAACAGTTAAACTACAAGAATTAATCAAATTGTCTCTCACCTGTTTTACTCTTTCCTCTCTCCGTCTTTTTCGTGCCTGCACCCTGTCTTCCTCAGACCTTGGTGATACAATGACAACATTCATTCACTATGAAAACATTCATGTTATTCATGCTTTCGTTCTTTTTTAAACTCTGTGTTTAAAAAAGAACGAAAGCATGGATTTACAAAGACACAGCAAGAACACACCTAAGATTCATGTTATTCTGTTGACACTTGACTGAGCAAAACGTTTATATAATTACACGTATCAGATTAGCACTCTAACCATAATAATAAAGCCCATCAGGTGTAGAACTCAGATACAAACATAAAAAGCTTAAAAAACTAACATTTCCCCCTGTAAAATATATTTTCCACCAAAAAGTAATCATGACCACACAACATATCTCCCCAAAGCTATAAAAGTGTTCCTACAGGTTTCTTCAACTTAAAATTAAGTCTGTTTAAGATCTTTCTAAAGCCATATAGAAAATTAATACCTATTTCACAGCACTATCAGCAAAAAAGTAAATAAATAAAATAAAATTCTTGAACTAGTTTTCATTTATTTATCTATACAACTTTACCAATATATTTTGACAAAACACTGGGTGGGCACTTGGTAGAAGATCGGTGATATTTTTAAACAAATGGTTAAAAATATAACCGGATCTCTGGTTTTATATTAGAACCTTAACAATAATTTTTGTTGCCTATATTTTAGTTTAATTTTAAGACGTTTTTTTTATTATTGTTAATTTTATTACCCTAATTTCTTGCAGTATTTCTATTGTATAAAAGCAACAGTGCAAACAGTAAAGACACAAAATTGAAATAAATGTCTAAAAATAGCCTTTATTAATACTAGTGCTTCTCTTCATGTCATCACTTGTTTGGAATATTTTGATGAACTTCAGAAGAAAAATGCAGTACAGAAAACTTACATCCAACACAAATTTTAAGACCCAGATGCCAAAATTGAAGGGTTTCTCTAGTCTTTTAAAGGTATTACTTTCAAATTCATAAATTCAATGCTTTTAAGACTCCGCGGGAACCCTGTAAACATTTCTCCTCAAAAGTAAGTCACCCCGCATGTGTAAAATAGGCTATATGTATCATCTAAAACTCATAATGGGGAAAAAACCTTTAATTTCCAAGTTCATAAAACGTTCGCCCAACATTGGTCCTCGATACTGTTAAAACAGAGAAAGAAAAATCCTGGCTTACCTTGATTTTGGCAGCTACTTCCCTCTGTCCCGGCTACAGCATTGCACACACACAGCGGTTTCCTGGTTCCATTGAGAGAGGGGCAGGACGCAGGAGTCAAATAGTTGTCTCCACCCACCTCTAAACGTTTGACCCCGCCCACATTTAGCCCCGCCCCAATCTCCGGGATGCAGTCAGGGGTAGTTGTCTCTGTCTGATCGCGGCTTCTGTCTGCTGCGCGGGCTGCTGGCTTGTGGAGCTCTCGGGAGACCTCTGTGTTCCACCCGGTTTTACCCAGTGGTCAGCCCGGCCTATCTCTGACTCTGAAGCTCTGGTGTTGTGCACAGTTAACTCTGGTTTTAGCTAGGTTGCTACCTCCGTTAGTAGCTCCCACCTCCGCGTTAGCTTTGGGTTAGCTTGTAGCTAGTTCGACCGGGTGTGGTCAGTGGATCCCAGCCTTACAGCCCCACCTCTCTTCCCTTTTGTGGAATAGGTTTGACGGAACCTGTGACACGGTCAAAATGGTGGTGGTGGCCACCTCCCATTTTTCTTCAAAAGCTGTAATTGGAGCCTATGGAAACCCATTGTCCAATATTTATATGTCGATGCTTCAACTTCAGCTCTGCTGTGGCTTCCCCAGCAACGCAAGTCATACACCCAAAATGGTGCTATGGGGGTGTGGTTGACATGCAAGTCACGTGTCTGACAAAGACCGATATCCAATCGTAGGAGGACCCTTCTAGCCAATCAGAGGTGAGAACGGCGGGACCTTCCTTGGACATTCTACGATTCTAAACTACGCGGACCGGAACGGCTGGTGAATGTTGGCGCTCTTTGAGTTGCTCCTTTTCCCAATTAATCAGTGAGTTTAACAGCTTCCACCGGTTTAACTGGAACACATACTCTTTGCGCTGGAACAGGAAGCGGACTGCCCTTCCTGGGGGGACTAATCTGCTGCCTGACCGGTACGTTCCGCTAACAACCCCCAAGAAAGAGTCGCTAGCTGAGGAAGACTAGTAGAAGTGATCGGCTCAATGGGATGTTAGGATTAAGCCGTGCGGGGCCGGCGACAGCTTCTGACTTGTCTGCTACCGTCGGTAAGCTGCAGCTAGCCCGTTACTACGTTACAAAAAGTTCCGTGTCCACGTTAGCAGTAACTTCACCCCATTTTCATCATCACAGGCGTGGGTGTAACACACTGCTTTTAAAAATGAAGATTATGCCTCAGAACTAGAGCTAGCATATTGCTGTCAGTAAACATGAAGCCAAGGCTTCTCATATTTTCTTAGCCAACAAAAGAACCTTTCAGAAATCCAGAACTTGTTTTTTCCAGATCCATTTCATTATCCTGAACTTAATCGTAAAGTCACATCAGTGTTCTTTTTAATCCACGTCCTCCTGATGTAGACACAGATGGACCATTATTGTTATTGTAAGTACCATCCACCTTATGTTTGAGTAGCCTCATGAATAAACGCTGATGCAAGCGACATCCGGTGAGAAACCGGAAGTAGTACATGCCCTTATTTGGTTAATGGTCTGTATTTGATACCATATCAAATGCAGACCATTATCAAATACAGACCATTAACCGTTAACCATTCATAGTGTATATGCGGCGTACCAGCGTCTGATTGGTAGTCATGCTAATTACGAACTTTTACAAGCTGATAAAGTACTTAACTGGTAGAAACTCATATCATTACTTTAGCACCTTCTAGAGTCCTGAAACCCCCCAAGGCACTTTACAACACAATCAGTCCTTCACACACCCATTCACACCCTGATGGTGATGAGCTACATTGTAGCCACAGCTGCCCTGATCCACACTGATGGAGGCGAGTCTGCCGGTCTGAATCTCCTCTCCCCCTAGCATAGCTGCTACTTACCAAATGGCCAGGTTGATCCAAATCCAATTTATTTACATAGCACTAATAGAAAACAACAACATGTACCAAAGTGCTATACAATAAAATCATACAGAAATAATACAGTTTGCAGCAGCCCTGTATGAGTCGTAGTAAAAATCAAACACCTCAATGGAAGGCCAAATAAAAAAGGTGGTCTTCTGGCGAGATATACACACAGTAAGGGAGTCTGCCTGTTTTACGTTTATAGTAGGTAGCTTGTTCCACTACTTGGGACCAGACACCGAAAAGGCTCTGTCTCCTTTGCTCTTATGTTTTGTGAGGGAAACCACAATCAGCTGACTGAAGAGACCGCACAGGTACATGCAAAGTCAACAGCTCTGACAGGTATTGTGGGGCAGTACCATTTATGCATTTAAAAACAAGTAACAACATTTTAAAATCAACCTGACCAAAAGCCAACGAAGGCCCAAAAGAACCGGTCAAATATGGTTGTACTTTTGGGTATCAAGACGTGCTGCAGCATTCTGAACCTTTTGCAGGAGTGAAGTCAAAGACTGGTTGATGCCCACGTACAGGGTGTTACAGTAGTCCAGCCTAGTCATCACAAATAAGAAAAAAAAAGTCGCGATAACAGCATTTTAATCTTTGCTAGTTGTCTGAGGGGTAAAAAGCTAGCCATCACCACGAGCTTATGTGTTGTTCAAGACAAAACTGACTACCCATTTTCACACAAAGATTTGTGACCATGGGCTTAAGAAACTGTGTTAATGGCCCTAAGTCCAAACGGTCAGTACCACTTGACTTCGGCCAAATTGTAGAACCTTAGTTTTGGATTCATTGAAATACAAGAAGTTTTGAGACATCAAAGATTTAACTGCAGCTATACAAGTCAATAACTTTTCTACACTCTGATTTTGGTCACGGCCAAGGGGCACATGGATTTGCATATAGGCCCTTAAGGAAGAAAAATATATTAAACAATATATTCCAATATATGGAGTTTTGACAATATGTTTAAAAGATATACACTCACCTAAAGGATTATTAGGAACACCACAGTAATTTGGTGTTTGACTCCCTTTCGCCTTCAGAACTGCCTTAATTCTACATGGCATTGATTCAACAAGGTGCTGAAAGCATTCTTTAGAAATGTTGGCCCATATGGATAGGATAGCATCTTGTAGTTGATGGAGATTTGTGGGATGCACATCCATGGCATGAAGCTTCCGTTCCACCACATCCCAAAGATGCTCTATTGGGTTGAGATCTGGTGACTGTGGGGGCCGTTGTAGTACAGTGAACTCATTGTCATGTTCAAGAAACCAGTTTGAAATAATTGGAGCTTTATGACATGGTGCATTATCCTGCTGGAAGTAGCCATCAGAGGATGGGTACATGGTGGTCATGAAGGGAAGGACGTGGTCAGAAACAATGCTCAGGTAGCCCGTGGCATTTAAACCATGCCCAATTGGCGCTAAGGGGCCTAAAGTGTGCCAAGAAAACATCCCTCACCATTACACCCCCCCCCCCCACCACCAGCCTGCACAGTGGTAACAAGGCATGATGGATCCATGTTCTCATTCTGTTTACGCCTAATTCTGACTCTACCATTTGAATGTCTCAACAGAAATTGAGCAGGACCACACCCCTAAATGCATTGAGGCAACTGCCATGCGATCGGTTGATTAGATAACTGCTTTAAGGAGAAGTTTAATATTGGTATCGGCCCAAACATTTCATATTGGTGCATCACTAGCCCCACGACCTACAAAAAAGTCTCTTGAAACCATTTTCCAAACCCTACAAGAAGTCGCCCATTTTGGTCTGACAACACCATTGTGTCTATTTTTACACACGTTGTATTTTAACTAACTTTTCCTAGGGATTTCGACCTACTGACTTAATCCATTCAGGATAGAATTTAAGAGTTTTCATCAGTCAGATGGTGTGGGGACATGGCTAAACCTCAGATATTGACCTGTCTTCAGGTCACATTCTCATCTCCAAGGTGCCTGTTAGACCTCTTTCACCTAATCAGCATGAATCGCCGCCAAACTTTTGCATCCTTACTGCTGGATCAGCATTTAACATCAAATGGTAATGCTAGCTTTCTCTAATTCTGAGACATTATTCTTCATTTTTAACAGCAGTGTGGTTCAACCTCTGCCCCTTTAAAATAAGAAGGAAGTGGCTACAGCATCTGTTTCAGTACTTGGACTTTAAAAGCTTGTAGTGGGAGATGAGCAGAGCACTATCATAGAGACTCACTCATTGTACCACCTAGTTGTGACATGTGGAAGCTTATAGGACATGTTGAAAAAGGGTTTGAGATGCTGATGATGAGTGGTGGTGATGCGGTCGCTACCCTAGGCTGGAGCGGCAGTGCCTGCAGCTTTAATTATGATTACAGCCTATGTGTGTTTCACAGTAGTTAATGTCAGATTTCAATTACTTATCTGTGTATCCATGCATGTGTGATGTCATAATCTTAATGATATCTCGGGAGGTGAGCATAAATAAAGATGGCTGTTGGCCACAGCTGAGCATCCTGAGAAGAACCCGCATCAGATCATATGACCTTACAGTAATGTGGGATTGTGCTCCATTGTTTTTAGACAGAAGAAGATAAACGTTTAAATCTGGAGGCTGGAGGGTGAAATGAACAGAACTGGTCTGTTTGGCTTGTAACAGCTGACGTGAGCTGAACAGACTAATTGGCTTATTGCAGGAGTGTGTGAAGCATCATGTGGAGAACGGCTTCTGCAGCAGTCCTGCTAGCATTAGCTGTGGGCTACTTCTACCATGGCAGACCGGACCTGCCAGAGCAGATCCTGCAGTACGTGGGTCTGCCACACCTTCAGACATCCTCTCAGAGCCAGAAGAGCTTGGAGCATGTGGTCTCTGCTGCCTGGGAGGCTCTGATAACTTTACCTGCTCATCAGTGGAGCAAAGTGGCTGTAGGGTGAGTGATGACACAGCCAAAGGGTTGGAACGGGTTTATGTTTACAAGCTGTCTGTATTTTTTCTGATTAAGGGTGAATGCCTGTGTGGACGTGGTGGTATCTGGAGTGGGACTGCTCCAGGCTCTGGCTGTGGATCCAGGTACCGGTCTAGATCATGAAGTTCTGCACTCTAAAGAGGACTTGAAGGAAACCTTCATCCATTTCATGGAGCGTGGAGCTGCTGCTGAGCGTTTCTTCAGCGACAGCGAGGTCTTCCAGAGAATAGCTCGAGCAGCAGCGGAGTACCCTGGGGCAAAGGTATGGCCATGTCATCCTGCAGCCACTGTTATTTACTCCTTCTGTGGTTTTGGCCCTGATTCCTCTGACCTGTCTGTTTTAGCTCTATGTAGGTGGAAACGCTGCCCTCATTGGTCAGAAGTTTGCCTCATACCCTGACCTGATGGTACATATTCAAATACTTTTCATTAAGTCTCTAAATTCAGTAGAATCTAATTTTGTGTTGCATGTAAATGTCAGGAACACTGTGGCACAGAGCTGCAGAGTCTGTAATGTAGAGCTGAATGCATCTGTGTGCTCCAAAGGTTCTGTTGTGTGGTCCAGTCGGTCCAAAGCTTCATGAGCTGCTGGATGAGCAGATCGTTGTTCCTCCAGGATCTCTCCAGGAGACAGATGAGTTTCACCTCATTCTGGAGTATAAAGCAGGTTTGGAGAGGTGGACCAGGCACGTCTTTGCCCATCATCCACACACAGTTGTGTAACTCATGTCTGTGTGCAGGCGAGCGCTGGGGCTCCACTCAGGCGCCTCAGGCTAACCGCTTCATCTTCTCCCATGATGTGTCCAATGGGGGAATGAGCTCCCTGGAGATGTTTGTCGCCAGTCTGGAGGAGTTCCAGCCTGAGCTGGTGGTGTTGTCTGGGCTCCACATGATGGAGGGTCAAGGCCGAGAGCTGTGGAAGGAGAGGCTGAAGCAGGTCAGTGATTAAAGATGTGGTCAGCGAGACTTCCGGGTTGTAGCCTGTAGGGCGAGTAGGACGCACGTGAGGGCTCCCTACTTTTTCTCATCATTTCTTTGCAAAACACAACCTTTTAGCACAAATCTCGCGGTCCAGCTGAGTTACTTCTCATAACAAGCAGTGTGAGAAACGCAAAGACCGCTTCTGGAGGACAGACTCCGGCTACATGAGCAGCTACCAGTGATGCTGGAAAATGAGCATGTTTCCCCGCCGGCAGCTCGTCCATGTCCGCCGCTACAGAGCCTTTTCATGCTGCGGTGGTGGATGCTAACCAACGTTCGGCGGAAAACAAAGAATCACATTTAAACGAGATGTTTCCTCCTTGATTCAAGAAGCTATTAAACCACGGCAGGCTTCAGTAGGTATGCTACAGTTTAATCTGTGGCCGCCAATAACTTTGACAAAGTCCGACATTAACACAATTCAAAAAGAAAACTTTTTGCTGTTGAAGCGCTTTGATGATTTGGAGAACCGCTCACAAAGATCCAGCCTCCGCATACTTAACATCCCAGAAGGAAGCGAGGAGCCTCCGCATACTTAACATCCCAGAAGCAAGCGAGGACGGTAACGACCCTGTCAAATTTGCATCTGAGGTTCTGATGCAGGTGATGGGTCCAGAGGCTTTTTCCACACCACCAGAACTAAAGAAAGCTCACCGAACCCTGACCCGAAGACCTGGCTAGCGGACCACCCCACACACCTTTCTTGTCAGTTTCACCAGGTTCCAGCAGAAGGAGGCTGTGCTGGGCCAGGAACCACCAGCTGGATTATTAAGGAGCCACCATCAGGATGTTAGCCCCACATTGGCCAAGAAAAGAGCTGCTTTCAACGATGAGAAACACGCTCTGTATCTGAGGAATGTCAGGTTCCGTCTGCTGCATCCGGCTCAGCTCCAGGTGATGCACGAACAATGTGTTTCCATTCAGTTCTCCTGAAGACGTCCGGAAGTTCATCCAGGAGCGCTCTGTAAGGAATAGGACCTTCTGGTGCATTGTGCTGTGGGACTTTGCCGTTAATAATCTGCTGACCTATTAGTGACTCCATGTAAGCAGATCGTGGCGTTGCAATGAGTTAACTCTGGAAACTAAGGTATGATGAACATTTGTTATGCTGCTCACAGCCTGGCTGGCCAGGCTGTTCAGTCATGCTGGCTCTTCCCAAGCTTGGTTTATGCTTGACACATTTACTTTCCGCTTGGTGATGCGGCTCGCGGATGGAACGCGCTTCACAACTCGCAGCATTTATGGTTCATGCGGCTTGTCTCTGCGGTGAGCCAATATTCTCCCAAACTGTAGGGGGCAGCATGGAGCTCTACGGCATGCATCCAACACTAGACCATAGTAGAAGTAGAAATTTCTGTTGTTTACAACAGTTGTTTATGAAGGTTAAGCTCTTTTAGAATTGGTGGAGTGTTCTTGTTTCCACCAGGATCACCAATTTCCGTTTGTTCCACTTCCTTGCCTTCACTTATCGGTCCCTCATGTTTTTCCAGCATTTTTAACAGCGTCCTCGTCTTTTCCGACAGTGCAAGCTATTTCTCTCCAAGAACAATGTATTTACGAACTCTGCCATAACTAGTTCTTGCCATTCCGCCATGCTTTTCCGTGCTCGACCGTCCGCGTGGTTAGAAAAGTTCCTAGGTGTGCGGTGTGGACAGTTTGGGCCGTGTGGAGGCCAGGTGGAGGGGAGTGGTTGGTAAAATGACACAATTTTGCCGTGCGGAGCCGTGCGGACCTCGCAGACGCGTCTAGCATAAACCAACCTTTATCCTCCCTTATCATGTGCTTATGTATGCAAAAAATTAATTCTATTTTCCTAAACTAGTGATTATACATGACAAATTATGGTAAAAATGGCCTGTATTTGATTGTGTTCTCAAGGCGCTTCACAACACAATCAGTCATTCACCCATTCACACGTTGGTGGGGATGAGCTACAATGTAGCCACAGCTGCCCTGGAGCGCACTGACACAGGCGCCACCGGTCCCTCTGACCATCACCAGCAGGCAAGGTGGGTTAAATGCCTTGCCCAAGGACACAACAGCAGTGGCAGACTGAGCTGTCAGCGGGGGCTGCCAGGAGGCAGCTGGAGAACTGACTAGATCAGGAAGTGATCCTTGTATTTATTAAATGTTGATGACAAATTTAGGCAAATCAGAATTTGCCATCTTTAAAGGGCGTTCCCAAACACCTCAGAGAACCACTCCCTCACTCAGATACTCAGAGGGAACCTCTTAGTGTGAAGTGAAAATATTATAACAGTTATGTGGAGCAAAATGTTATACATTAAAAATATTATGATGTTGTGTTCATACTGATAGATTAAATTACTAGAATCAACAAGTACTGATCTGGTGTAGTTTAAGATCTGAAATGAATGATTACAGGACAAATATTAATTTTAACTCATCATTGATTAATGCACACAATACTTATACAGTATGCATTAAACATCTTGTTCATTCAACAGAATACGATTATATGAAGTCATTTATGTCAGGGAAGATAGACTTTATTCAAAGTAAAAGATCAGGAGTCCTATATCTTGCAGCCTTGAGGCTCATGACACACGCACGATGTTAAGTAGTTCATCTCTTTAATAAATGCGACATCATAACATATTTACCTAATCTAGGGCAATATGTCACAACAGCCTCAAGAGGGAGCAAGTGTTATGGCAACATCCCAAATGCATACATCTCAAAGTCACGTCCACCTCTTGGTAGATCAGACCACAATGTAATCTTACTACTACCAAAATACAGGTCACAACTGAAGACAGGGAAAGTGGTAACAAAAAATATCCAAGTTTGGAATGAGGATTCGAGTGAAGCATTAAAGGGCTGTTTTGAAATGACTGATTGGGACGTATTTTTTAATGACAGTGGAAACAATCTGAATACGTTGACAGATGTAATGACCTCAGATATTCTCTTTTGCGAAGAGAAGTTACAGACAGAAATGGCTCTTGTTGCCCGGGCATCACCCAAACTGTGTCCTATAGAAACACACAACACATTTTAAAATCACTAATTATTTAATTAGGTCCATCTGGCCAAAGTTTAGTTGTGAAGCACATCTTAAACACAATCTCAGTTAAAGACACACTCTGATAAAAATCAAGTTTTTCCTGTTCCTAATATGTTCTTGTGGCATTTTCTTATGCTAGTTATTATTATGAATTATTTGTTCATGATTGCGTACAGTTAATAAATTCCAATGGAATTTATTAGATAATATTATTCAAAGTGACATAAATAATACAAAACACAATGACTCTCGCTCACTCACTCACTCACTCACTCACTCACTCACTCACTCACTCACACACACACACATGTTTTACTGACCATTTTCACTGTCATATATATTCCTATTTCAATTAATTAATTCTATATTGTACTCACCAATGGCCAGAAAAAGTCTGTGACCAAAACACTGCATCCTTGGCCACTTTGTCAACTGCAGCGCTTTGACAACATTAGTCCCGTTGTCTGTCGTCACAGCAACTAGTCCCGTTGGGTTGAGATTCCAGCTTTTGAGGGTCTCCTGCAGGGCTTCGGCAATATGCTCTCCTGTATGATCTTGCGGAAAGTAGCTGGTTGGAAGACATGCACTCTTCAGCTCCCAGTTCTCTATGAAGTGCACAGTTACACTCAAGTAAGGTTCGCAGGTCCTGCTGGACCACATGTCGGTGGTGAGCGCGTAGTGAGACACTTTTGCAAGCCGGGCAGCAAGACTGGCTCTGACATCCATGTACATTTTGGGTAGCGCCTCTCTTGCGAAATAATTGCGACTGGGCAATTGGTATCTCGAGTCCATGGTTTTTAGCAGCTGTACAAAACCGGTCTGCTCCACCATTGATATGGGAGCCATGTCTTTGGCGATATGGAAAGCCACCGCTTTGGTAATTTCACGCCACTTGTTACTAGTTCTTTTGTATGGCTCACTATGGCTCAATGAAGCCCGCAACAGGGTTTGTTTCGGGACAACATGTTGGGAAGACTTTGTGGTCTGAGTCGCAGCACGTAATTTGATGCTCTCCTCATACTCCACTTTATGGAGCTGTTTTAAATGGTGGAAGAGGTTTGTTGTGCTCGAACCCTTCGTTGCAACAGGTTTTCAACATTCTTTACAACAGGTTTTCAACATTCTTTACAGAAAACATTTTGCTGCTGGTCATCTGACAATTTAAAACCGAACCATTTCCAGATTATCGAGCCAATGTTCTTTTTTTTTTTACTGACCAACTCCTCTTCTGCTTCGCCCTCCAACTCCATGTTGTCGCTAGCAGCTCAGCAGCAAGCACTCGAGTGGTGGTGGCGAAGGGGGAGGGCTTGTGGGCACAGAGCAGGGGAGGCGGAACAGACAGGTTGTGTTAAGGGACACTGGGAGAGGAGAAAAACATGCGAGTTGCGGCCCATTTATTGTAATTTAAACGGAAATTTTTACTACATCGATATTAGAGATACTGTCCCGTGTTATATCTTGTTTAGAATTATATCGATATATATATTAAAATATCGAGATATCGCCCAGCCCTGGGTTATGGTATGGGCAGGCATCTGTTGTGGACGAAGAACACAGGTGCATTTTATTGATGGCATTTTGAATGCACAGAGATACCGTGATGAGATCCTGAGGCCCATTGTTGTGCCCATGAACATCTCCTCATGTTTCAGCAAGATAATGCATGGCCCCATGTTTCAAGGATCTGTACACAATTCTTGGAAGCTGAAAATGTCCCAGTTCTTGCATGGTCAGCATACTAACCGGACATGTCACCCGTTGAGCATGTTTGGGATGTACTTGACCGGCGTATACGACAGCGTGTACCAGTTCCCACTAATATCCAACAACTTCGCACAGCCATTGAAGAGGAGTGGACCAACATTCCACAGGCCACAATTGACAATCATATAAACTGTATGCGAAGAAGATGCGTTGCACTGCATAAG